GACTGTGAGTAAAATAGGTACCACCAACTCACCGTGACCGTGCCCCACTCGGGTGTTTGAGACGACAGGGGGGGGGCGGGGGGGACGCAAGTGTAGATTGAATGGGTACCACTGACTCACCCGTGGTGGTGCCCCCGCCCTCCAGAATGCGAAAGACTCCGAGTTCGCCGGAATCTCCCGCGCAACAGAAGCTGTCTCACAAAGCTCATCCGAACCAACAACCCCCATCGCGGCGATTGATCCGACCGCGTCGGCTCCAGAACTGCGGAACCCTCTCCCTCCCTCCCTCCCTCTCGCCCACTCCTGTCAATTTCGATTGTTGCATGTTTGCTCCCCCTCATGGAGCTCGTCCCCGAGTGCTTTCATGCCTCGACACGACAATTCTGAAGAGCGGCGAAACTGAATTATCTCGCTGCGTTCGTTTTTGCCTTTCCTGCCGCGGCCCGCACTGCACGTTTGTGTAGGTTTAATGTCGCGGCGGCACGTGTGCATCCGTACCTACGTCCAACGTGTTTTTTGTTTTTCCTTGCTTCCGTCTTTCCTTCCGCCGCAGTTCCAGCTGCACGCGGTCCGCAGAAAGAAGGGATACCGGGCGCTCAAGCTTGGTCTGGCGGAGCTTACGAACGAGGTGAGTATGACCTCCCCCCCCCCATTGGGATCGACTTTCCCAAGTCTCAGCGGCAATAATTTGGGCTCTTACGGTGGTTGCTGGCTCTATTGTAGGGAAGTCTCACGTGGAGGGCTGTGCGGGAAGGCGTCATTGGGATTGTGGAGGGTGTAACCCTTTTGGGTCTACAGGCGTCCTGACTGACAGATATCGATTGATCGTTTGCAACTAGTTGTGTTTTGGTATGCCATGGAGTTGCCGCCCTGTAGCCCTCCACGCCAGGTGTTGGCAAGTCCATAGGTAGGTATGTCTCTATTGTTCGCATCGACCGCGCCTCCCGGTGACCAATGAAAATACGATATTTAGTGCCAGCGGGTAGTATCAAGGTCCCTGGAAGGGCCAAAATTCGAAAAATGCACTCTGCGCTTGTCTATATGCGAATGCCACCATGAATATCTCCCTATATCCTTTCACAGAGACACACATCAAGAGCTCCACATACATGCCTTCGCCCGAATATCTAAGAACCCACTAAAGCAAAGACAGGAGGACCGCGAAAAGGGGCATTTCAAGCCCAGCCAGGCCAGGATATCGTGGTATGCTGCATATTCTCCAAATTTGAAAATCGTACACTCTCAAGATCCAGCAGTCATCGTGTCAGCAGCTAAGCTATGCAGCAGCAGCAGTATAGACGAGTCCAATATACAGCAGTAGTTACATACACCATCGATCACCATAGCCCCACACATACCCTCGCCCGAACCTAGAGAGCCACTGATGCAAAGGTAGGTGTGTGCTGTGGTGTGCCTGCGTGCTTATGGGAATTGTGGGAAAGTCACAGGAGCTGTAGTGAGCCGGCAGGGCTCACATTGGGGAGGGGACAGAAAAGTACACAAGTACAAGAACCAGCTATGGCCTCTCACTGATCATTTACACTGATCATTTGAGTATACTGAAAATAGAGTAGTTTCGGCTGCTTGCCGACTGATCTTTTCGAGGTCTACAAGCCTAAGCTGCCCTACAGGCCGCACCGCTACCACACATCAACCCCTCTATGACCCTGTATGTGCCCACCGTCCTGTCGCGGGCAGCCCTCATGGCCTATGGGTGGAAGTAGTTGTTCCGTCTAGTCTTCAGAAGTACGCACGCCTCTTCTTTCTGCTGTCCTGTTGACTCTCTCTCCCGCACTCTCTCCCCGTTTTATTTTTTTTCGCCGAAAAAAGAAGAAGAGCTAGACCCAAAGGGGTTAAGGGGATGTAACGTTTGGTGTTGAGTTGGAACTGGGGTTCTCGGGGAAAGCTGGACAAGGATCAGGGGTTCTGGGTGTGGCTCTGGGACGTACGCCGTCATGCACGACCGGGGTGTACGACTGCCGCGTGTTATGTCGTGTCGGATCGAACCAGCAGCAACATCACCATGAACAAGAACATGAGAAGAGTAAGAACAAGAACGAGAGCAAGTAAAGAGTAAGAACAAGAAGCACAAGAACAAGAAAAGAGTAAAATAACAAGAACAAGAACAAGAAAGGAGAAGAAGAACAAGAGCAAGAAAAGAGTAAAGGAACAAGAACAAGAACAAGAGAGGAGAAAGAACAACAAGAACAAGAAAGGAGAAAGAACAACAAGAACAAGAAAGAAGAAGAAGAACAAGAGCAAGATCAAGAGTGAGAACAAGTAGAACAACACCAATACCATCATCACAGCAACACTAACGACGACAACATCTTTTGGTTGTGTTTTTGCAGGTCCAGGCCAAAGAGACGATGATGACCATCCTGACGGTGTGCATGCTGGGGACAAGCTCCATCTTGGAAGGCATGTACGCCTCGCTCGAAGCTCAGGTAAAGCCTCCCCCCCGCTCCCCGGCTCGGTTCCCGCAGGTAGTCTTAAGTGGACGGGATGGAGCACAGCAGTCCCACAGACACCCAACTGCCCCCCCGCGAAACCCTCCTTTTTCACGCCCACCCCCTTTCGCGCCGAATACCTATAGGCGCTTCACCCTTGGTGGTGTGTTGCTAACCTGGTCCGGTGAGAACCCGGCGTGCGCCGTTCCGGCTTTGTAGGGATGCCAGGTCATCAATGGTCTAACGACTTCGGCATGCACGGCTAAGATTACACCGGCCCACCCCCTCCTGATGCCGGCTACCTAAACTCCCGCTGAGCAACCCGCCTCCCCCCCGCTCGGTGTACATTTCACAAATTTGTCTTCATGTCCCTCCACCTGCAGAGAGCGAATATCGCAGAGATAGCGGAGGTGCTGAGGGATCGGGAAGAGCGGGTTGAAGAGCTCACCGTGGAGGTGGAAAACGGCACCGCGTGTCTCACGGTATGTACTGCTGTATCATAGGTGTTTTTTGTTGGAGTGAAGCGGGGGGGGGCGTGCGTGTCTCACGGTACACAGGTGCCGCTGGTTTTGGAGTGAGAGGGTGGCGGGTGGGGTGGGTTGTGCTTTCGAGATCACGCGCGTTGCTGTTGTGGTGCTTCCGCTACTGCCGCTACCGTCGTCGCTGTTGCTGTTGCTGGCCTCGCCAGCTTCTTTGTGGCCTGGCGGCGGGCTCGAATATCTTGCCCTTGTTTTTGTTTCGACCGTGATACCTACCCCGCTTCCCCCCTGTTGTCCTTGGAGGACCCTCACTTATTGCTGCTGCAAAGCTCGTTCAAAGAAGCAGGCTGCCGACTTTGGTTGCGTGCGCCACACACGCGTGTTAAACCTTGTATCCACTATCAATCATACTTGCGTCGCCCCCCCAATTTGTGTTGAATGCTTTCATATGCTCCACCTGTCGCCTCCCCCATGTTTTGTTCCGTGATCATCATCATCAACCTCATTACCGTTCGTCTCCATCTCTTGTTTTTTTTGCATCATCGCCCCCCCCCCCATTTAATACATGATTGAACTTGCGTCACCCCCCCCCCATGGTCACCGTCACCATCCGTGCCCTGCTGCCTTGGTATCGGTGGTGTCGCTTCTCACACAGGACCTTCAAACGTCCCTCCACAAGACGGAGTCTGCGCTTTCAGCGGTGGCCGTCTCTCTTGGCGCGGAGGAGGAGTGCGTGCAGAGGTGGAAGGATGCGGTAGCGGCGGCTGCCTTGGGGAGGGCCACGCCGGGAGAAGAACCGGGAGACGACGACGACGGCGAGGGGCCGCTAGGGGTGAGCCGAGAGCGAGGGACTGGGGGGAAATGGATGCCATTTTCGTAGTGTGTTCTTTTTGCTGTAATCGACCGCGTAAGTGTTTCAGTAGTACGGGCAGAAGAAGGTACAGGGTAGAGAGAATGGAACGGTTTTGAAGGTGAAGACGACGACAATAGTAGCAGCAGCACCAGTAGAAGCCCGCTCCTCTCTTTCATTTGCTGGATTTTCACCCGTGGTCTCCCGCTCCCCCTCTCTGTCCCTTTTGTCTCTCTGTCTCTCTCGCTCCCCCCTTACAATATCTTGTTCTTGATCGTACGCTATCAGCAACTACTGCACGAGATCCACGCGGCCGCCGCGAAAACGTTCGTGAGCCCGCTTGGGTTAGAGCCCAGCACGGGCGCCATCACGATCGCCGTACCGAGACCCCTGGACGGGGAGGCCGGCGGAGGCGGAAGGGGTGGGGGGGTTGGGGTGGGGGTGGATCGCGGGACGAAGTCGCCGGGGGGGTTCTGGGCAGGTGTTTTCGACCTCCTTTTCTGTCGCAGAAGATGATGCATGGAAGGCGTGTGATTGGGAGGGAAGGAAGGTGGGAGCAATTATGAAGTAGCTAGTATATTGTATTATGCACGGGGTCCAACGGGCTCCCCGCGGCATTAGAGTTTTTGAAGGGTTATTTGACTGTTGCGTGTTGGTCGAGATGGGGGGCGTGGGATTGTGCGGCATAGCCAACCGGCAGTACAGACCTGGATGCCGCGGACATACACACGCGTTCGGGGGGGGGGGTGAGCGCCAGGCTTGTGTTTTTGGTGCACGCATCTCATGGAAAGAGCTCTTCCCTCGCCCGGCAGTTGGGAACCGCTTGGGGTGGGGGCGGAGCTCGCGTGTTTGTGTGCTCCCCTTGTTTTGCGGCACCGCCGCCGGCATCCAGCTCTACACGGATTGATTTCTACGCAGCTGTCCAACGTATCATCCCGCCGCCGGCGACAGTCCTGCGGGGACGACAGTCCCGCCGCCGTGGACAATCCCGTGTGAACGAGAAGCAGAACGTGGGGACGAGAAGGAGAACAATCGCTTGAAAATATTGACTATGCCTCCCATCGCCTGTTGTTTCCTTTGACTGCTGTTGTTTTACTGCCGCAGGCGGAGACTGATTTCGGGGTGTCTTCGGCTGGTTTTGGGGTGTGATTGACCGGCACAGGGGACAGCGCTGGCTGTGTCGATCGATGATGCTGCTGCGCTGGTTTCTTTCTTTCTTGAACATCAAACGTCTGGGGGGGGGTTCCGATGGTTTCACGATTTTTTTTTTTTGTCTTGAGCGAGGGGTCGAACGGGCGCGAAGAGAGCGATCAACAAGGTGGACGTATCCAGAGGTATAGCTGGGATCTCGGGCTGAACGTTTCGCTTTGCTCCTTTGCATGTGTCGGGATCCCCCCCCCTGACAAGCCAACCTTCGGTCAGGTCATGAGAGGCTTCCACAATAGTCGGCAAAAAAGGCAAGCAGAGCAGTCATGGGGGGGGGCGCAGCAGGGGCTCTTGCGGAGGAGGCAACGTGAAGTGGTGAAGACAGATGTGGCTTCTCTTTACGTCGGAGCTGTTTTCCTCCGAGGATTTGTGCGGAATTCGTGGTGGGGGGCAGGGTTCGGGGTTTTTGATGACACGACGTGTTATAGATAATCGAAATCTTGTTTCGAGTTTTGATTGCTCAGTTTGCAGGCACATGTACATCCACTATTTTTTGTCTTGTTTTAAGAGTGTGATCTGATCATCAGCGAGTGAATATGGGTGGTTGGGTAGATGGTTGGGTAGATGGTTGGGCGGGCTCGCACCACCTGTGGCGGAAGTGCAGGGGGCGAAGGCGAATAAATAAACAGGAAAGGAAGGGGGCGACCGTTCTGCTTCTTCTTTCGGCCACCGGACATGGTCAGTTTCATTCTTGACTGCTGTTACAGCATCCGTCGCGGTGTATCGAGGCTGTTTTTTGCTTTTTGTTTTTGTGCAAGTTTTGTCTCCCTATCTGGCGCCCTCTGCACTCTACCTATGGCACAGAATATAAAAAAAAACGTTGAATTCAAACATCGTAACCACCCGCCCGGGACGCGTGAGCCGACCGAACTTGAAGTCCTTACACGCGGTGAAGGTTCCGCCGGCCGGAACATGAAAACATCAATTTCACACCTACCCGTTAATGAAGGCCTCAAAAGTTTTTCCCGATTGATAACGTTCTCAAGGCGATATGTGTTGACAAAAAACGGATCTGGAAGGACAATTGATGTCGTTCAATGTGGGAGATCCGCTTGCATATGGCGTTTTCAAGGAAGAATGCTGCAAACTATCCCTCTCGCCGATCGCCACACAAGGTTTTCTTGCTGAGGAGCAAAACAGAAATTTCGCGAGAAACGCTCATATTTTTGCTTTGGCGCCAAAGATATTCACAACACAAACAAGTGATGTCGATGGGGGGGGGGGGTATCAGAGGGGGCTCGTTGGTGATCGATGGGGGGGGCACCGTGGATCGTTTATCGGTCAAAAACGGCGCATTTTCTGAAACCCGAAAAACGCTGGAGCTACCGACGACGTAGCTCGACGAGGCGATCACGAATACCTCTCGCTGTTTCATATTTCTTTCAAACGTTATCGCACGAAAACGTTAATGGACAAGCTGTGCATGGACCATAAAGTCGGAGGAGATGTCCGCGCCGAACTCTCGCCCCCTTTTCGAGGCTCGCCGCCCACTCACTGTGCGTGATCGTTCTGCAAGGCCGTATTGTCAAGCATGTTGTATTCGGCTCTGCGCATGACGAAAAGCTGTTTGCATTACTGCCAGCACCTCCGCGGGAGAACAAGACAACTCCTGTCTGTGCGGACTCCTTCTGTGTGACCCTGATTTCCGCGTCCAAACATGTGCCCGAAGGTGAGAAACTGACGTTCAGATTAGATGAGATAACTAAACGCACACATCTTTCAGCTACACAGTAGTAGTAGTTGTCGGCAATAAAGCAAACTTGGGCCGAGCAATAAAGAACGGGACGACCGAAGATCCTAGGGCGACGGATGGTGTCGTCATCCATCGCCAGTCAGCGGTGACGTACTGGACTTGCTCTGCCTTTGAAGTTTACGTCTGTTCGCTGCTGTGAGCCCTGCAGAAGAAATAATACGACGTTGCCAAGAGGTGCTGCCCAACTTTGCTGCATACACAACAGCCACGTCGTAGGACACACTGCAGTCAGTCGTGTCAAGGAGAACCTACGCGGTGCTGTTACTTTCGGAAGAGACGCGCCTCATAGTGGATGAGTTTTGGCGGAGAAGGTCCCTGCAGACAGCTCATTCTGATCCGGCTTCGCTGAAGACGGACGTCATTTTTCCAATGGTTGGCCGGTTCGCGGTCGATGCAAAACAAATACAAAACACACACGCACACGCACACATCACAAAACGAACGACTAACTGCTATCGAGGCCCTCGGGTCCCTGGCCTTGGCAATCGCCTCGAGCGCATGAACACTCTCGAGCCCATGCGGTCCCTTTCGGGGAGGTAAAGCCTCGCGCTCCGGCCGCCCGCCTCCCCCCGCGCCGCCCTCTCCTCCGCCTCCACCCACGGTACCCCTGAAACGCTACCGGAAATGTCCTCTCGTCCGACCCCAAACCTCACCCTGGCCGGAGAAGACGAGCAGCAGGGATCGCTCTCGTTGTTGTAAGGAGGCCTGAACTTGCCCGGTCCGGGGCCGTCCGGGGGTCTGGGAGCCGGCCGCTTGCCTCCGAACGACCACCCCGGCGGCGCCGACGCGTGGCCGGCCAATCCGCCGTCGCCGCCGCCCCCCCTGGCGGACTCCGGGCGGTAGGCGTGGGAGCTGGGGGTGACGCGGCCGTCGTCGCGGAAGAGGTAGCGGCTGAGAGCGGGGTCGTACGGGGCCCCCGTGGGCTTGCGCCCGAGCGTCGGGGGGACGGCCGTCGACGAGCCGCAGGCGGCGGCCTCGGCTGCCCTTAGGTCGTAGTCCCCGACGCCAGGCCTCAGGGCCGCGTCCCTGGGAAACCGCTCGGAAGACCCGAAAGTGCCGGCGGCCGCTGCTACTAGGGATGCCGCCGCGGGCGACGCCCCGGGTGCGTTCGTCGGGCTGGAGGTTGACCGCAGTGGTCGCCGCCTGCTGCTGCTTGGCTTGGGGTTCGTCGAACGCGGCGGGGGCGCGTTCTCTCGGCTCGAAGGAGCGCCTGCGGCAGCCGCCCGTCCTGGTGGTGCTACTCGTCTTGGCGGCTCTTGAGCAGCAGCAGCAGCCGGGCTGCCCTGGATCACCTCGGGGGCGTACTGCTCGGGCCCCGGCGTTTCTGGCGAGGGCGGGAATAGCTCCCGCTTCGATCTGCCGCCGATGCTGACGACCTTGCCGTCGCGAGCGGTCTCGTCGAGGGTGGCGGGGCGGTACGACGACGGGCCGGGGCTTGGCGCCGCGTCCGGCGGTCTCTGCGGGGCGGTCCCTATCGACGCCCCCCTGCCGGTGGCGGTCTCGCGGCTCCGTCTCTTTGAAGGTGCCCCCCCCGCCCGGCTTATTTTCGTAGACATTGCCGCCGCCGATTTAGCCCGTTTCCTGCGCCCGGCCTCTTTCACCACGTCCGCAATGAAACGCGGGCGGCGGCACGTGCTACTGCTGCTGCTGCTGCCGTTAGCGGTCCCACCATGTTGTTGTTTCTTTTCTGTCCTATCGCCGCCGCTGCTGCCGTCGGCCGTGCGGTCGAGTCTCCTCCCTCGCGCGCAGGCGCGGCGGAAGCGGGACGAAGGCGGGGCCGACGAAGGGCGGCGGCGGAGGCGGGCGATGGTCGTCTCCCGCTCCGCCGACTCTCGACGTTGGTGATGTAGCGGCGCCCGGAAACGTCCCACCCGCCGCCAACCGCCACTCCATTGTTGATCACCGTCACAGTCGTCGTCGTCGCCATCAAGCTCGCACGCGAACCGCGTGATCTCCTTGATTCGGGCGGACCACCCCGGGGGTCGGAAGTTTCTGCCGAACGTGATGTTCTTGCCCAGCTGGGGGATGAAGGCGGGGGACTGGTACTCTCCAGGACCCGGGGTGGGCGTTGCGTCTGGATGTCCACACGTGCGATGAGCAACGCGACGGTTCAAGCGCTTGGTATGAAAAGGACCGTCTTGTCAATTTTCCTTTCGAGGGTTATCAGGCTCTCTCCAACAGCTGACACTTAAGCAAGAGGACAGCCACAGGGGGCGTTGTGTGTGGAGAGGTTGTGGACGTGCATGTTTTGACTCTGTGCTTGCTGTGCCTCCCAAATTCCTTGGGGATGAACAATTTAAAAGCCCGTGGAAAATATTTGCTCCATGACGAAACCCTTAGCGTCGCGTAAAAACCAAGGATCACACCCAGACAGACGTTGATCCGCGTGCAAACCCAGAGAGCTGCGCGACTCATGTCTTTTACCGGTGGCAAACCTTGGGCTGTCCCGCTTGCCAAATCCCTCCTTCGCGCTATTCTCCCCTCGCCCGACGCTTAGCTGGACGTGGAGGTACTGACCAGGCCCGGGGGTATCCGGCGTATCGAGGGTCCTGGGCGACCTCGAGGGTATGGAGTATGCTGGGCCCCTGCCAGCAAACTCTGAGGATATGTACGCGCCAGGACCCGCATCTGTTGCCGGGCTTGAGACCGGGAACCTTGGGGTTTGATGCTTGCGATCTGCGGGTTGAAGTGAACACCGCCCCAGGGGTCCAGTAAAAAGTGGAGCGCTTGCATCATCCAGGTCTATCAGCAAGTAGTTGTGTTCTGCACTTTTTGTCTCTCAGAGTACGAGGTGCTGTCTAGCAAGGGCATGGAGAACGCGTCGATGGTGCAATCAATGAGGCGGTTGCTGCTGTTGCTGGACACCTCGTTCCTCTTGGAACAAGGTAATTTCTCGAATCTGGGCAGCAGGCAAGTAGCGAGGCGCTACAACCACAAGGTCGAGAGAGGCTTTCACCCGCTCCTGCGCGACATGCTTCGGTCCAGTTTATTTCGAGGTCATTCCTTGTCTCCGAGGATAAACATCGTGCAATATCGCACCACATGTACAGAACACAAAACGCGTTGCTTGTTGACGCTTGTACCACACTGAATGAAGAAAATGAGTTTGTGATTGAAGGAAGCCCCTTGTGCACTCCTGCAGTGGCATTCGCAGCACAGGACGCGTAACGTTGATGTTACGCACGAGCAGTACTGCACTACACTGCAGCTAGAGATAAAATTCTGAATGGTAGGCGGGGGTCTGGAAAATGCAGCGGGGAGAAGAGCAGTGTACATTCGTCATAGAAGTGGACCTTACCTCTAGAAGACACGTTCCATGTAAGTGGCCGATTCTCGGTGACGTCGTATGCTCCAGGTCCTGGTTTGTCCCTGTCTTCCCGTTCTGAACAATTTCGGTTGAATAGCCAAGAACAAGCCAACACGCACAACTTGCTTTTCCATTACATGGGGTCGCTCTGTATCTCGTGCGTCGTGTAAAGTAGATTGATTAGAGGATGGAGGATATGTTTATGGGAAAAAGGCTGTTCAGTTAGAGAGGCAGACTGTACAGCAATTACACTAAAATAACACGTCCACGACAATGGCGGTGTACCACTTCGTGTCCAATGGATGGTGTAGACTAGGTGGTGAACGTGCCAGTCTACAGTTATTGTCAGGCTACACCATTACCGTCTACTGCAGTCTTGAATTGATAATCTATTCACAATCGATATTTCTGTGCTGGGGCGCACAACGCGGAATATCGCTCGTTCGTACTGCTGTTGGGACCAATATATACAGCCAAATTCTTGTTTCGACTTGTTTTGCACAAAGGTCTTTTGACTGCACACACCAACACACACCTCTGCCGAAAACTAATCGCTTGGCGTCCGTTTGAGGGCACGTCGGCTTCGCCCCAATGGGAGAGAAAAAGGTTCCCGCTGAGCCTCCGTTGAGGCTCCCCGCAACGTTGTATGTTCCCGGTCCGGGCACGCGAGGCCCTGGAACCGTGGGGTTCAGGCCGAAGGTCCAGGCCGGGGAGTCGATACTAGCAGCCATCCTCGTCACGAGAGAGGGAGAAGAGAGGTGGCTTCTCCTACATGACGCGGTGCGAAGGTGAGGGATTGACATGGCGAAATATCAGCAAGGAGTTTTGGCGGCGGAATAGCAACGGCACATTTTGGCGAATGGGAGAAGCCCAAAAGGCGGCGAAATAGGTTACGGTTTGATTGAAAAACGGCTTCACCAACTGACGAAGAAGACAGTCGACGAGCGTGGAGAATTGCGTTCTGTTTTCATCAAGGACTCACGTAAAACGGATACCTGTGGGTGTGCTGATAAAGCACACCAGCGTACACGCGACGCGCACACAGCGACGCAGCCATGGGGGATGTCATGGAATTCGACATGAGCAACAATGGGGGTAGCAGGGGTCGGCCTCCACCAAGAATTGCATCAAGGCTTGCAGCTGGGAGGCGAAGCAGCGGGGCCAGGTCGACGGACGGACCTATTCGGGCGCGGCCGCCGTCAGGGTATGTGAAGCACCACATGTGGCTTGCGTGTGGTGGCTGCTGTGCAGTAGTACAGTCGGGACATCAGTTGTTTCCGAGGTCAAGTTGTCGCTTTCGCGTCGTGAGCATAAGAGATCTTTGCCTGAACTGATCACCCTATTATCTGTATCGCTGTGTGACGACTTCCAGCCACACATCCGTCTCCATTAATCCATACAATAGATATACTTCTGATGCACCACTGCAGAAGAGGGTCTGTTAGATGCTTGTGGGACCTTGGTCATGGAGTTCGACGGCTACATCTAGACTGAGCGTACTACAGAGATCACACCCAACCGGTGCTCCAATAAACAAGTAGCTCATTGCGCGTACACAACAACTGGAAAAAGACTTCCATTCTACTTGGCGTAAACCTTCGCAGCAGAGCAGATGCAAAGGAAACAGACTCGAGAGTCGCGGCCAAGAGGCCCAGCGTTGATTCTACAGACTCAGTTCAGACACGCGAAAGGGATTCTAGGCGTGCACGCGGGTCTTCAGACGACGAGGCCGCGGCCAAGTCCATGGCTCGAAGAAGAACCGATTCTCCCATGGGATATGGGACAGCCGACCGAAACGGGAGCGGCGCTGCCAGGTATGTGGGTTCAGTCACATCTTCATTGCCGCCAAAACTAGGTTCTGGGGTCCGTATTTGACCAGCAGCAAAATATCTACAGCAGAGAAAGCGCCTGCAGGTTGATATCGTGTATGAAATACTCGTCTATTTGTTCATACTTGTGTGTAGCATTCTTCAGCGGGTGATACAGATTTTTAGCATAGACTTGAACGTCCCTCCTGCGCTGTAGGTCTGCTTTCCGAGAGCACTACCTAACTTCGGTGAGAGTCGCGTGAACTCGCTTTCTTTTCACCAGCTTCAAGAGTTCGTGGGCTCTATACTTCCTTATCGCTACACAACAGAGACGCGCCACTCCTTGCTCTAGCGTAGCCAATCAAGGATGCACAAAATATGTTAAACGCAGTTTGAAAACAACAATGTGATGCATCTCTTGCACGTTTTCCACATCTGCTAAGTTTCTCCCCCCACCGAACCTACATGCAGCGGGTCTGACACGGGCAAGTACCGTCTGGGGCAGAAGGTCGAAGGCCGCTTTCGCGGAAAAGGGCGGTGGTACAAGGGCCGTGTTGTAGGAGTCAACACCGGAGGAACGTACGACGTGCGCTATGATGATGGCGACGAGGACCTCGGCCTAGACGCCTCCGCCATCAGGTCGGAGGAAGCCAGAGACAGTGGCGGTGGAGGGAGCAACATCGATAGGCGCGACGAAGAGCGTCGTGGGGGAACAGAAGAAGGGCGCGCCCCTGCTTACCGCCTCGGAGACCGAGCGGAGGCTAGGGCGCCAGGGACGAACCGGTGGCAGCAAGTCACTGTGGTCGGCGAAAACCGAAACGGTACACTGGATGTCCGTTTCCGGGATGGCACCGAGGAGAGACGGCTCGACCCAAGCATGGTTCGGCCGCTGGAAGCGGACGACGGGAAACGCAGAGGTAACGGCCGCGACAGTGTTGACTCCATGGAATTTGCTGAGGGCGATAGGGTGGAGGCGCGGTTCGGTGGCCGATCGCGATGGTACAAGGCAACGGTCGAGCGGAAGAATAGGGATGGGACCTACTGCCTGATCTACGCAGATGGGGACGAGGAAAGAGCGGTAGACAAGTCTCTCATGCGTAGGATCGACAACGGCGGAGGGCTGCCAAGGTCAGGAAGCAGGAGCCCCGGGCGGCGGGTGGTGTCGGGCGTTGAGTCAGAAACAGACAGCGCTACGGGCAAGACTTTTCGAGTTGGAGATGACGTGGAAGCGAGGTACAAGGGAGGCCGCAAGTGGTACCCGGGCGTCGTGAGGAGGGTAAACCGAGATGGGACGATGGACATTACATACAAGGATGGCGACTCCGAGCGTGACGTAGACCCATCGCTCGTTCGCAGTAAGGGGGGCGTCAGCGTTGATTCGCTGGCTTCTTCTTCTGCGGACACCGGCTTCTCTCGGGGCGACAAGGTGGAAGCCAGGTTCGGTGGTCGGTCTCGCTGGTTCAAGGCCACCGTAGAGAGGGAGAACAGGGACGGCACGTATCACCTCTTGTACGTGGATGGGGACGAGGAGAGGGCCGTTGAGAAGCATTTGATTCGCAGAATCGAGGGTGTAGGCTCCTCGACGGCGGACGGAAGGGCGGCGTCTCGGAGCAGGAGCCCCGCCGATCGTCGAGCGAGGGGCGACGTGGCGGGTAGGGAGGAGTTCGCGGAGGGTGAGAGGGTCGAGGCGCGTTTCGGTGGCAGATCACGCTGGTCAAGGGCAACGGTGGAGCGGAAGAACAGGAATGGTACGTATGGACTGGTGTACGCGGATGGCAACGAAGAGCGGGAGGTAGAGAGCCGTCTGATACGAGCACTCGGGAGCGGCGGTGACAATGGTGGCAGCGGCAGCAGCCCGCGACGACCAAGTAGCGCAGTCGCTGACAGACGAGGGGCGTCCAACTTGGATAGTGGTTCAGACGTGGGCAACGCCAGAAAAACGGCGATCCGTGCCAACGACAGGATCGAGGCGAGATTCAAAGGGGGTCACAATTGGTACGCCGGGATCGTTGTAGCGGTCAACAGAGACGGGAGTTTCGACGTCAAGTACGACGACGGTGACCGAGAGTACGATGTCGATGCAAGGCTAGTCCGTAGTTTGAGCACCGGTTCCGTCCGGGGCGCTAGTGCAGCGCGCGAGCGCGGCAGGGGCGGCGGCGGTCGGGCCGAGGACGCGGCCGACGGGTACGCAAGGGGACGACATGCAGGTGCCAGCACGGTCTCGCTGGACTCTGTACCCGCCGACAGCGACTTTGCGGTGGGCGACAAGGTGGAAGCCAGGTTCGGTGGTCGGTCTCGCTGGTTCAAGGCCACAATTGAGAGGGAGAACAGGGACGGTACCTATCACCTCTTGTACGTGGACGGAGACGAGGAGAGGGCCGTTGAGAAACATCTGATTCGTAGGGTCGGAGCGAGCACGTCCCCCACGGCCGGGACCAGGAGCCCCGGACGGCGTGTGGTGTCGGGAGTAGCTTCCGAGACCGATAGCGCGGCGGGTAAGGCTTTTCGAGGCGGCGACGAAGTGGAAGCGAGGTACAAGAGGGGCCGCAAGTGGTACCCGGGCGTGGTGAGGAGGGTAAACCGAGACGGAACGATGGACATTACGTACAAGGACGGCGACTCCGAGCGTGATGTAGATCCATCGCTCGTCCGCAGCAAGGGGGGTATCAGCGTTGATTCGCTGGCTTCTTCTTCTGCGGACACCGGCTTCTCTCGGGGCGACAAGGTGGAAGCCAGGTTCGGTGGTCGGTCTCGCTGGTTCAAGGCCACAATTGAGAGGGAGAACAGGGACGGTACCTATCACCTCTTGTACGTGGACGGAGACGAGGAGAGGGCCGTTGAGAAACATCTGATTCGTAGGGTCGGAGCGAGCACGTCCCCCACGGCCGGGACCAGGAGCCCCGGACGGCGTGTGGTGTCGGGAGTAGCTTCCGAGACCGATAGCGCGGCGGGTAAGGCTTTTCGAGGCGGCGACGAAGTGGAAGCGAGGTACAAGAGGGGCCGCAAGTGGTACCCGGGCGTGGTGAGGAGGGTAAACCGAGACGGAACGATGGACATTACGTACAAGGACGGCGACTCCGAGCGTGATGTAGATCCATCGCTCGTCCGCAGCAAGGGTGGCGTCAGCGTTGATTCGCTGGCGACCAGTACCAACACAAGCGACACCGCGCGTGGCGGCGGCGGCCGCAGCAGCGGCAACGACTTTGCGGTAGGCGACAAGGTGGAGGCTAGGGTTGGAGGCCGTTCGCGCTGGTTCAGGGCCACCGTAGAGGGAAAGAACAGGGACGGGACGTATTGTTTGTTATACGACGATGGAGACCTAGAAAGGTCCGTTGACAAGAAGCTAATCAGGAGCCTGGCCAGGCCTAGCGGTGAAACAAAGAGGGACGAGAAACATGCGACGGAGGCGTCCGCGGCTCACCGCATCGGCGACGAGATCGAGGCGAGGTATAAACGCGGGCGCATGTGGTATCCGGGAAAGATTCGGGCGGTAAATGCGAACGGAAGCTACGACATCACGTACTTAGACGGAGATTCGGAGCGCGACGTCGAGGCAGCGTTCGTGCGGTCAATCGGGGGAAGTTCAGCCGCAGAGTCGCCGGGCGGCTTGGCAGTGGGAGACAAGGTTGAGGCAAGGTTTCGGGGAGGGTCACGTTGGTTCAAGGCGACGGTAGAAGGAAAAAACAGGGATGGGACTTTCAGCTTGTCGTATGACGACGGAGACTTTGAAACGGCTGTGGAGCGGGACCATATCCGGAAGGTCGAAGGCGACCGCGCTTGCAGGAAGACAGCAGAAAGAAGCGGTCGAGGCGCTGCGAGAAGGGGTGTGTCCCGGGCTGGTTCCGAGACCGGAACCGACGTCGACCAGAGCGAAGAGAAAAAGTTCCAGGACCGAGGTGAAACTGGGAGTCTGGAGAGGAGGCCGGACCTTCCTCGTGCTGGGGACGACGTTGAGGCCCGGCTGCGAGGCAGTTCGACGTGGCGGCTGGGCAGGGTCGCTCGCGTCCATCGGGATGGCTCTTACGACGTCGAGTACGACGGTGGGAAGAGCGAGAGGAACGTACCGGCTAGTCACGTCCGGTCCTTGGCGAAAAAAGATTCCCGCAGCTGTGACAGCGACAGCGACCGCAAGAGCAATTACGGAGACACCACGAAAATAAGTCAAACGGTCGCGATCGCGGAGGGCGAACAAGTGGAGGCGCGTCTCCGGGGGAGATCTACCTGGCATAACGGCGAGGTAACCAGGGTACACTCTGACGGCACGTACGACGTCCGCTACAGCAGAAACGGCGAACTGGAGAAGCGGGTCGAACCTCGCTTCGTGCGTCTGCCGCACGGCACTGGTACTGTGCGAGCAGGCAGCCCCCGAACAAGCAATCGCGGGAGGAGTGGTGGTGCGGACACTTCGAGCAACGAAGGGTCCTATCGAGGGACGGAGAGAGGGCGTCGTGAGGAAAGGTCGCCTATCCCTCAGGAAACCGTAAGCGAGGATGCGGAAGCGGCGGCGACGAAAGTGCGGCGCTCCCTTCACCACGCGGGGAAAAACGTGGACGACCTCGTGCGGAAGCTCGAGCGGTTGCGACGGTCGACCGGTGGCATCGACGAAAACACCTTGGGGCGTGTGCTAGCAAGGGTTGGCATCGAGATCTCAACTCGCGAAGCGCGAGCACTCCGGCACTGCTGCCCGGACCTCGATAACCACGGCTGTGTTTCTCCTTCTGCCCTTGCAGGTTTGGTGTCAGGAAGAAATAAATCTCCTATCAAGCGAAGGCGATCGTCCGGCTCCGCCACCCGTGGTGGCCGCCGTCACGCTTCGATATCGGAACTGGCGTCGGACCAGTCGGAGTCGGAGTCCGCGACCAAGGGACCGGCGTCGGTGGCACGGAGAGGACGGGTGCGTGGCACTAGCTCCTCGTTAGACAGTGGCATCAGCAGCGGTAGTAGCGGCGGCGGGCGCCTCTACCGCCGCCACCACCATGCAAAGGCCAAGGCCGCGCCAGATCGTCGCTCTCCAACGCAGCGGAAAAAGCTGGATACTGGCAGCGGAAGCGAACTTAGTGGCGACATCTCGTCTGACGGGCAAGGCATGGGAGGCGCACTTATCGGTAACAAGGGCTCGAGGGCGCTGAGAAAGCTAGGCGGCTCGGCTTTCGACGGGAGTCTGCGGCAGGAGTTCGACAAGCTGAGCGGCAGCGGGAGGCGTCGAGTGCTGCCAATTTCGAGCCTAAAACCGTGAGTAAACATGCAGAGCGCCCATCGCCTGTCGAACATTGTACTCACCGGTGGGTGCGTGTTTGAGGCACATCGTAGCACCGCAAACCATGAAATTTCGGGTAAATGGTGGCGGGTATCCTATATGAACGACAATTTCCTGCTGATAAAAGCTCGGTCCGTGATGGACGCATCGACGAAACAACTAAGTCGGGCAGCTGTACAGTGCTACGGCGATGAAGTTAATTGGTGTAAGTTCCATCACATCGAGGATATGTCTAGAAACAACGGCACCTGAAACTTGTCTTCGATGACTCCAAGTACGTCTCACACTTGCTGTGGCAACTCTTTGCGATATCTCCGGTCATCGTATTTCCTGTACGGCTGAGCTTGTTGCTGCTGATCTTAGTATGCTGTTGCCTACACCCGACCGAGACAGGTTGCTCCGACACCTTAGGGTGAAGCTCGAGGAGTCGTCCTTCGCCGAGGTGATGGTCGTCCTGGACCCTGATGGCCTTGGTTCGTTCTCTCTTCAAGGACTACTTGAGGTGGCGCTGTCCACGTTTGAGGATAAGAAGGTACAAGAAGCGAGGCACCTTCTCGTCTCGTATCTTCTTGCCTCAGGTTCCTGCTTTGTAGATTAACATACGATGCAGATTTGTTTCGGGAGCGCCGGTCTCGTGTCAGCAACCAAGGAGAGGCCGCCCGCCTCATGAAGTACCACCTGCCTCAAGAAGCAGGACTTCTCGTTCTCCCTCGCTGCTGCTGGTACAAGCGCACCAGCGACTGTCGATTGAGATCACTCCACGATAGAGTTGGAAATTGAGTACGAAAAACGGGCATTCTTTTGAAGTTTAGTCCATATTCTTGCCGTGTTTCCAGGTATCCAAGGTTTACAGCAGCGTCTGCGAACAACTGTTTAAGCCCACGAATGGTCGAGGTCGAAAAGGACGTAACGAGAGCCAGGAAGCCGAGGCCGCCAGTGCGGCCGTGTCTAACACGCTTTCCAAACTGGAGCACCCTAAGGGATCGGGGTTGCTCACAACGGGGGACTTGAAGAAACTGGTGAGCAGGGCAACCAACCGTCTTTAATAAGAGGCGATGGCAGTAAAGTAGTATGGAGCGATGGTGGCGTGGTAACGAGAGAAAACTGACCGCCTGCTTAGACTGTATCGGGTGCTATCGGGTGTATAGCTAGCACCCGGCTCCCGGTGGTTCGAGAAGGGCAACTCGGCAGTACATCGCGGATCGCTGACTGTATGTAGAGGGCATCCCACTCAGGAACCGAACGTTTCCGGCGGGTAACGAATTCCACAAAGTACTATGCGTGTATCGTTCAAAGTTGCACCGCTTTTCTCGCAATAACTTGCGCGTCACATGCCCTCTGGTCAACCGTTGTCTAGGATCCAATGTGGACATCGAAATGACGCCCGTGGTTGGGATGTTTTGCGAATACGTTGGCCTGTGCTACGTTTTGACTACAATCGTGACAACACTCCATCGAAATTGTGGGTTGTCCTTGCGGTCTAGCAGGTGTGCCTGGGCACCTGCCAACCTGCTTCAGCTCGCGAACAATACAGACAATTGCTTGAGATTTTCATGAGATGAAATAACTCGCCAAACAAGGAACTACTAATAGCGTAGATTTCTTATCAGTTGCAAGTTGGGCTTCTGGTACATTCACGATGCCCTGTCTTCTACCGGCCAATATTCCCGTTGTCCCCTTCCTCCCCCCCGCCGGTACTTGAAGCTCCAAAGGGTGGGTGCTAGAGTGTCTAGCGAAGACGCCAAACTTCTGGCGGAGAGGCTCGATCCCGCTGATCGCGGCAAGGTGGACCGAGAAGGGCTCGTTGTGTGGCTGACATCGGGCTTCGATGTTACCCAGGCGAGTACTTCGGTGTTGTTGCTTGATGCCAGCCTACTACTTCGTGAGTGATCACAACAAAATTGTGCAACTTTGGACTACTCTACAATAGAACCTGCTGATGTCTCTCGCGGAGAAACCGAAGCCGAATGCACCGTAGTACTGATGGAAGCTTTGTCACCTTTGACGCATGCTCCTCTCCTTTTTCTTATCGTTTGGACCCCGGCTGAATCACACAGGAGTAAATCCCTGATACCACCGCACTACATACTGTAGCACACGCTTGGAGACAAATCCTTCTACCCCACGGTCGGAGAATCTGCAGCGAATTGCATCGTTCAGCAGGTTTTCCTTGCACGGTTGCAACAGACCTCAAAACCTTAAAGTGCTCCAGGTTATTACTATCGAAGCACGCCTCGACATTATTGCGAAGTATGCAGCACGCAATCAAAATGGGCTTAGCGTACATATATACTTAAAATAAACGATATTTACGCCACAGCACATAACCCCAACCATACGAAGCGCTTTTCAGTCCGCTACGCACGCGGCAACCACCCCTCCCGACGAGCCGCCACTGTGGCACATTCAGCAAGCACCCAGGTGATCCTACGTCTGTCGGTGGCTGTGCCACGGCGGGGAATGTTGCGGAAGTTACTTGGCAAAGTCAAATGTCGTCGTAGTTTGTTGTGGGTGGCTTGAGTACTGGCTTGGCAGCCAACAATAAACTAGCTCTTCACACGACACACAAGAGATCAGCTGCGGCATCTTGCGCCCTTTCAACCAAACACGCAAGCCCACAAGACTTACGTACGCTCGCTGGTGGTGTGCAACAAAATACCAGTGCTCGGGCAAGGCCGCAGGGATGTAACTCCCGGTTGCTACCATGCTCAGGAATCAACTGTGAAAACACGACCTACATATCATAGCTAAATGAGACTCGACGGCGGGTCCGGCTAAAAAAACTCAATACTTAGTCCGGCACAGATTCCTCCCCCAAAACGAAATTCATGGCCTGGAGACCTGAACCAAACCAAAATCCATGGGGTTGCACGCGGTCTACGGTCGGTCGTGCACCGTGCCCTGCAAAATCAAGAGTTGATATCTACCCGACTGCGCTTCCCCTGTGGGGCAGCGACTTCATCCTCGCACTCTTCTTCAGCCTGCCTTTGGATCTCATATCTTTCTTCTTGGTGGCGACGGAAAGCCTCCCCCATGACCTTGACGTATGCATCACCAGGCATGGCAGATATATCGGATGGAACGCGAGGGTCCTTTCTCAGGACCCTCTCGATGTCTGCATCGGGAGCCCGCCAAATTCCGCCCTGGGAAGAAACAGCCACGACTTTTAAGAGGCCGTACATCGCGACCCTCTTAACGAACGACGCCTTCGGGGCATCCGTGCAGTAAGGGTTATTGGTGATGTAGGTCGGCGCGGGTCGGGGTTTCGCTTGCTCCAAGTCGCCCGGTTTCGGCATCCGAAACAGCACTATTCCGTCATCCTCGCTACTTGGATCGACCCAGTAGCCGTTCCCGGGCGGCTCTCCCGGAGGCTCGAACTCCTTCACCTTCCATCTACGGCGCTGAAGGAAGCCGGATTTGTGCTCTTCATATTTCGCCGCGGGGGTATCCTCGAGGTCGGTATCCCCCCCGTCGGAATCTTCCCCGTTGTCGTCGTTCTGGTCGTGCTCAGACATGGTGTTTCCTTCTTCTTCGTCGGTGTCTTCTAACTCTACCGCAGACACCTGCACACAACAAACAAAGGCAGACGTTAACCAGCAAGTCGCCAACAAAATAATGGGTTTGACAGCGATCAAATGTCGCTCGCTTCATTCGTACCACCTGCTGCTTTCACCCTAGTGTGCAGTGAAGTTTCGGGTGATCTACGGGGCGTGTGGTCCAAATATATACAAGCCGCTCCGCGCACGTCTTTGTATTTTTCCACGAGCGGTGACCTTGTCTCTGACATCTCGTCTCAACAAGGAAAAGGGTTCAGTACGGAGCGAAAGGGGCTAACACGCGGGCTGTCCGGTCCATTCTAGGCGCCCACCGGTAGCCCCTAGAAAACCGCTCTTTTAAACTATTTTTTCAGACGGGTCGCCGAACGACAACCGCGTGGGCCTGTTGCACCGTTAAAACACGCACGAAAAAGGCCAGGCGCGGGGGCGGAAACCCTGTGCTCACATGGATGGGCGATTGAGCAGAATCGCCTCCGCGACTCCGGGAACCACCACCCGCAGGGCTGGGGCTACCGTTAGAAGGGCCAACCTGCGACGGCATCATTTTAGCCGGGGAAACGAAGCTCAGCATTGAGAGCGGAAAAGGGACCATGGTGAAAAGGTGCAGCTGGTTTTGTTCCGGGTGGACGAGCAACTCGTACCGCGCGCGGCAGCCACGTTTTGCAGAAGGGAAAAAACAAGACAGGGGAAGTACTCTACGGTACCACGCTCGCGGCAGGTTCAACGCTTTGCTCACGCGGCTGGCCCCTTGAGCAGAGCCTTGTCCAGATCCACCTCCGCCCCCGGAACCGCCACTGGCAGGGTTGGGGTTACCGTTTACGGCGCCACTCTAAGCAGGCAAGCAAAGGTCGGAGTTTGGGGCACGAACCAAAACGCATGTTCAGGAGTCGCGGCTGGTTTTGATTCGGGCTGCCAAGTCCTAGATGCTGGTGGATGCTGACAGCATGCACGCTCTGCTGTGTACCAGGCAAGAAGGCGCAATATGGCGTCCTCACATGGTTGGCCCTTTGAGCAGGGCCTCCTCTGGGTCCGCCACCGCCCCCGCCGGCACTACCCGCATGGTTGGGAGTGCTGCTATTCGCTGCATTGGCAGAACCACCCTGAGGAGAAAGACACCATGACAGAGGTCAGCTTTAGCTTCGAGTCTGTTGTTCAAAGCGAACCCAAGCTCGACGGCTCAGAAGGAGAAACGAGGAAAGTCGCGGGGACGGCTGCTTCAACATTGGACGAAACCTTTCCCGCCACTGCCGTAACAACCCGGTTGTATCACACCGACGTAAACAGGAGGGATCACGATTTGAAGGTCTTACGTGAAACAAGGGACACATGGCGCCGACACACCAGGTCCACACACCAAACAACACCAGAGCAGAGGCTGAGAAGAGCACACACAAAGGCCGTACTTGTCACATCCTGCCTTGCACAGATGTGCGTATTGGACAAATCCTGTCGAGTGCGCCGGGCGGTGGGATACCCCCCGGATACATGTGTGCCCTCCCCACACCGGCTGATCAAGTCAGGTGTTCAGGGTGGGCACGGGTGCAGCAATCGGTCTACGTATCTTCTGCTCGTATCTTCTGCTCGTATCTTCCAGAATGCTGCGTTTCAGGGCGACCATTGCATACGAGATCACTTTCATGCGCACCTGTTGCTGTTGCTGCCCCGGAGGTAACCCCAAGCGTCTGTTAACTAGGTTGTTGAAGTTGGACTGAGACATGCTCTCGGGGCTGGGACGAAGACGCAAGGCAGGAAGTTGTTGGACACGGCTCGTGAAACATTAAACGACGCCTTGTGATACCATTCAGGGCCTTTGGTAGGCACATGCGCGGAGGAAGGCCGTTGCGTTACCGGAGGAACCTCTGGTTGGGGGGGGGGCTTCCGGCTTGTACCCTCGCCTGCATTGGCTTTAGGTAGTTGTTGCGCTGCTGCTGCTGTAGGCAAGCTTTGGTGGCCAAACAGCACATATACACACGGCAGGCACGCGTGGGAACTAGAATGACGTGCGAATCCCATGGATGAGGGCGACTACGGGTCAACAACAACGCTTCAGCCGTTTTACTCGTGTGTTTGTCAAGAGGGAAAACCTCTCAGCAAGTTTTCTCTCGCTTCCGTTCCTGGCCTGGGTGGAAAGCGATACTTCGTTTGTACACACAGAGGAGAGAGCTGCACTCTTTCTCGCACAAAAATCGAAGGCAAAAGCACCGTAGGAGGGGTGGGTTGGAGCCCTCAGGGAGAGGAACGCTTCTGTGCGACCACGGGGTGGAGTAATCGACACAAACGCTGTTGCAGTATAGTGTATTATAGCTCTGACTTTGTTGTTTAAAAAAAAAACTTGCACACACACACGGGTAGCGCGGTCGATGCTAATAATAAAAGCACACACGGGCACGCCAGCAATCCCCCGCGCTTTTTCAAGGGAGAGGGGGAGAGGACAGGGGAGTAGAGCGTGTCGCTGGAACGTTCAAGGGCACCCATGCACATGCCAGTTACAACCGTAGCATTGGCTTTGCTATATTCACCTGTCCATGCGCACGAACACCAACTTCCGGATGCCTTTGAGAATCTTGTGATCAGCATCGTCTTTAAGGCAGGTCCAGGCTTTGTGTTCCACCATCTCGAGCTGGTTCTTGTTCACGTGCTCGCTCAGAAACCCGACCAGACCAATACGCTCATCATCAGAGAGCTCCATGGATTCAGTAGATCCCGAATTTGTGTCTGTGTTCTTTGAAGCTCCCTGTCTCTCCCGCCTTCTTCCGTACGCCGTCCTGTGAACGGCTAGCCAATTAGACTGCGAGGCAACAATGGGGAGACGCAGAATAAAAAAATATGATGACATACAATCATGCCGCATACACACACAGGCAACTATTTTTTTTTTTTTTTTTTTTTTTTTTTTTTTTTTTTTTTAACTATTGGAATAAAAAAAAACACACACACACAGGCAACGTTTGCACTTTTGCACTGAGGCACTCGCGCACGCCACCGTACGTAGTCCCGTTGTGCTTGCGATTTGGGTGGAAGATAAGAGGTGCTTTGAAGATGTTGTATCGGGGAACATGCAACCCGTGTTGTCGTGTTGTACGTGCGGTAGAGATTTCGAGTACGAACGGATTTTTTTTTTTTCTTCACTTCAAATCAGCGCTCACAGCTATAACAGACAGTGCCGTTTACCCCAACCCGTGGTCACACAGAAGAAAGAGCCCTTCTCTGCCCTTCCCTCCTGCGGTGTTTTGCCTTCGATTTTTAATGCGAGAAGAGTTCAGCACTCTCTTCCCTCTGTGCACACACGAACTAGCGCTATCCACTGGGCCAGGAGTGGAAGCGAGAGAAAACTAACTCACTTTGCAAGAAAAGCTCGCTTACGCCGGGATTCGAACCCCTGACCTGACCTCTAGACTAAATAGCAGGTTTCGAGGATACCAACTAGACCACCGGGACTACCGGTGGTCTAGTTGGTTTCCTCGTACGAACGGACAAAATGCACTGAATTATGGTTTTTTCTGCTGGTTACCAGTACAGCAGCGTACCGCCGTACGGCGGCCTGTACAATTGACTACGAAGAACGGATCTTCGGATGTTGATGGGGTACATGTAGCAAAAACTGCTGTGTCACAACCGTTACATTTGTGTCGGTCTCGAACATAGACTACATGTCTCTGCAAAAGTTTACCGTCAAGTCAAGCTTGTTGCCGGTGGGAGATGTGCTGCGGCCTGATCCCTGGATGGTGTGGCAGGGGATGTGGGAGTGGATCATGACATGTCGCATTACGATAGCGCTTGTATTGCTTAAGTCTAATGTGTCTTTGTAGGTGAGGATGTAAGGGAATTCTCTACATGCAGGGCCCAGGAAGTGCGGTTCCAGACCCGACATGAATACGGTCACCATGTCCTCGCTCGCGTTTTGGCGACATTTTTCATATTACGTCTACAATAAATAGTCTACTGCTGTTGTCGTACAGTTGTTAGTCCATTGCCCATTCCGAACATCGCAGGATCTCGCAAAGAATACGGGTCCTTTCTCCCTGCCACTTCGCCGCACCATTCGAGATATGCTGGCTGCGCCAGATTGGGCAGGCTTTTTGGCGGACCCGAAATAAAATTTGCACGCAGCTACTACAACTGCTGTTACTCCCCGAACAAAGCCTCTGAAATATGCCATTTGTCGCCACGTATTTGAACGCGATTGCCTCCTATTTTTTCGTGCTTCGAAGGCGGAGTCTCGGGCGTCGGATCAGCTGTGTCTGCTGAAAGCGAAGAAGAAGGCACACAAGCCCGAGAAGGCGTTCAGGGAGTTCGATGTCGACCGCCAGGGGGAAGTGAGAAATCGATTTTTGGGAGTGCTTAATCGCAGGGGCAACGGGGGGATGATAGCAGAACTCGGTCAAGATTGTGTTCGCGATTTCGAGTCCAACTCGTTGCTTGTGTGTATTTCGCGGTCCTCAACACCTGCGATTTATGTGTCTAAATTTGTCATTCTGAGGGAGGGTAAACAGGGAAAAGCTGACACTGTTCCAAGGCGTGGGCGACGATTGCACAATGTTTTCTCAAAATATAAGCCTGATTGAGGTTCATCGGCGTTTCGTGTCTGTAAGGCGAACAAGAGAGAGCGATTTTCTCCGCTTGGAGAGGCGCACATTCATTAAAGAGCCCACACATACTCGGTGCACATTCATTTTCAGTGCATATTCCATGCCGTATATTGTACTGCGAAAAAGGCATGGTCATGTCCATCTGCTACTCAAAACTGTTTTCTCCGTTGTCGAGCACAACGTTTATTGTTTGCCGAACACGTGAACCGAGGTTCTCGGAAGACGAAAAATCTAACATTCCCGCGAAGCTGCGCTAAAGGTAACGACAGCTCAGAGAATATAAGTGTTGACTACGGGCTATTCGATAGTCTAGTTCAGACAAGACAAGTGTCCGACTATGCAATGATCCTGTGGAAAGCTAAAAAACAAAATGGAGCGACCCTTCCAGTTCGAGTACACAGCACCCGTCGCAAAACGGCCCTGGACTACAATGGCACCATTTGAATGTCCGAAACAATATATTTCGAAACAAGGTGAGGAAGACCGACTTCGTCCTCGCCCTCGGAAGGCTCGGCCTCGTACTCACGCACGGACAAGCAACCGCCCTCGCTGCCAAGCATCACGGGGACTACGAGGGTTTCTTGGCCACGCTAGCAGATCCTCCAGAACGCTCGCCGGAGGTGAGGACAGAACTAGGGCGAGGAGCCATTATCACGCAGCAGTACCTTAGGCGACACAGAATGTATCGCACCCCCTGGACCGGTTCCAGCTCGATTAACTCTACAGCAGCATGAGTGGCGGTGCCGAAAATGACGGCGCTGGAAGCGTTTCGTCGAGATCGTTCCGATGACAGGTTCTTTGATTTGGCACCCTTTTCGTCGTGAACCTAGTCGAGCTTTGAAAATTGGTCCAGGGGGTACGGTATCTTGCGTTACCTACGGTATCTTGCGTTACCTACGGTAGAAACGTATCCCCACCGCGCCGGGGCCAAGATCATCGATCGCTCGCACCAACCGACGTTGCAGGAGGGAGCGGTAGACAGGTAGCGTTGCGTAATGCGATGTGTGGCGTGCAGCAGAATGGTCGAGAGGTCTATCTTCCTCAGTCGCCGAGTATTGCACGGTCAAGACCGACGTAAATCGCCCCTGACCAAGGTCGCGGAGAATCACAACTCCCATCACCTTGCCAAGAGCCAAAGCCAGAAAATAATTTCGTGCTAGACCCATCCCGACAAGCATATGCTGTTGGATCGATGGCACACACAACATCGGTGCTCGTGTACACGTCTTCGTGAAGCGTTGCCTGCGTCATGCCCTTGGAGGTTTTCCCCCGCCGAATGAGCCTTTGTTGTCGCTGATCGGGAGAGAGAGCATTGGCCGTCCGACAACCCCGAAATCAGTGCATGCATTTTTTTTTTATGACTGCAGGTCGCGCTGACCGATTCATTTCTAGCCATCCTCAACGTGGACCAACCCAGCTCCCAAGGATACTCTGTTAAACCGGTGCTCGTACACTCTACTATTCAGCGAAGACTCTGCTTTCTTTTTTTCTCATCCAGCAGGGTGCAGTCTCCGAGGGGTCGGACGACAGTGGAAGCGATACCGAGCGAGGGCCAAAAGAGGGGAAAAGTTGGATCAAGAGCATAGGGCGGCGAAGGGGCGGCAGCAACACGAACAGCACCAGCAAGAGCAGGAACAGCAGCAGAAGAAAAGGTAGAAGTGGCCGTAGGTCCGGCGGCGACGGGGGGTCGTCTGATGACAGTGACCGGCCGCTCACATCTGGATCTGGCGAGGATGGGGAGGAAGACGAGGACAAAGCGGAGGATGAATACGATGGATTACTGTTGGGGATGAGGGCCAGGTGCGCGACGGGGAAGCAAACGGTGGAATACAATCACGTGTAAAATAGAGCCACCAAATGGATGCAATGTTCGTCGTTTTTTCTTGGTGTTTCGGAGGTGGACTGCTGTGGAACATTGCGAAACCGTCCTTTTGCGGCAAACGGGAAGTTTCTGTAACGGCGACATGAGACCTCCACGCAGCAGAGAGTTCCAGCGCAAACCAGAACCTCTCGTAATCAGCTTTCTGCGAGCGAATGGTGCGTGGCACAAACACAGCTACGTATTCCACCTTGACCCCTTACGTCTGCCACCGCCTTCCTCTACCCGTACCAAATAAAAAACGGTGCCCACATTCAGGGTGGCTCTGCGCGATGCCTTCGAGCGCGCGTGCAGCGCCACCGGGGGCGTGAAGGACATTTTTTGCTCCGCGGCCAGGGGAGGGCATAGCAGGAGCAACAGTGGCAGGGACGTGGACACGGCGAGCGGTCAAGGGGCGCTACTCGATCGGGAGCAGGTACACGCAGCAGCCCAAGACACCTCCTCGAGACTCTTCTTTGTTAATTTCTCATGGCGCCATGGGTTCTCCAACATCCGATTGAAAGCTACGCTTGGGTAGAAACAGGACGCCCACCGTTCGGAATAGAACCATGCGGTCCGACTTGACCAAGCACTTGAAATTTCCTCATTGATTTCTCATGCTGCTCACGCTGCTGTGCGGTTTCGAACTCATTGAGTACTTGGTTGTTCTTGGGACCACGGGTGAGGATGTGGGAGATGCCTGAACATCCAAGGCAAAACCACCATGAATTCGCTAACGCGCCGGACGGGAGAGAACATCGTTGACCTAGACGTGTGTGAAGAACTGTTGAACACCATGCAGGGCACGAACCAAGCACGCGCTTCACCCCTCAATCAATCAAAACCTGCCTCTGCATATCCTTGTGTAACCGACAGCGTTGGCACAACCCCATGCTAGCCAATGTTGGTTCCCTCCCTTTGGCACCGCTACCATCGAAAAATCAAACCGATAACCGCAGACACGGCGCTTCCTGCGGAGGCTCGAGCTTGATGTACCCGAAGACGACCGTGCTGCGCTCCTCGACGCGCTCGCGCCCCCCCCTCGTACGTCCGTGGGTGATGGCGACGATGGTCGAGCTTCGAGCGAGAAGGGCGTGAGCTTCGAGAGTGACGGGGGGCGCAAGAAGCGCGGCAAGCGCGACGATGGGGGCGGCGTTGGCCTGGTCTCGTACAGGGACTTCCTAGAGCTGGTGTTGGCAGAACAGGTACAGAAGAGCGTGGCGTGGCCAACTCCGCCACTTCGCCCCCGTCCCAAGAAGATGTTGGTCTGCTGAGCCCCCGTGCGGTCGGCGAAGCCACTGTGTGTTGTGTCCTTGTTGTGTCCGGTTTGAGGGTGTAAGAGAAAAACTAGGGCAACGCGCGGCGATGGCTGATTTCCACCTGTAGACCAACTGAGGGATAGATACGTATTGGTCAATATCGTCTTCGTTTTCGGCCGATGACCTTCACGGAATGGTGCTACCGTCCAAGGAACACTGCTGTTGGCCGTTCATTGAAGATTCACAATCGTGCCGCACGGTCACGCGACATCCTCGTGAACACTCTTGTCTTTCTGGATGTGGCTTGCTAATTGCGCAACATATTTGGCCCTACCCGTGCGGTCGTTTCTGCGACATCAGTCTAAACTTTCTGTGTTTGTAGACATGGTTTGCTAAAGTGTACAACATCCTACCCTTCCCGTGCGGTCGTTTCCGACGGCGGAGGTAGTCGGCGTGGCATACCGCAGGCACACGAAGCTAGCCCACCCCCACGACATGCCAGGCCCGGCCACTCTCATGCCCCTTTTCGGCGTGGCATGCGTGAACAGGAATCGAAGGAGGTGTCCAAGATCCACGGGCGGATGTCGAAGGACTTGGCGCGGGCGGCAGACCACAACAGGGGCAGCAAGCAATCATCATGCGCGTTTTCTTTGGTCGTCAAAGTCTTGTCCAAACAGGATGCGGAAGGGCTGGGCTACATCAAGGTGGGTTGAATCAGAGAACGAAGACTAGGGTACTGCAGTTGCCAGCAGTGTTTCGGACGGGTTTTCGGCGTTTGAACGAAATCGATCGAAGGCCGAGAAACTGAGAGGCCTTGATGCGTTTGGGTCTCCGGGTTCGTTGCGGTCTTCCATAGTACTGTCTCGGCCAACGCCACAGCGCGCCGCGGTGCTTGCCATGGGAAACAACTGCAGACCGGCATAAAGCTCATCAATATTATTCGTCGCTTGGCAGCGATGTTGTAAAACAAGCCAATTCACTTCGTGAACTCGGCAATCAGGTTAACGTTTTTTTATTGTCTTCGGGATATTTTTTGTTTGCGGTAACCATGAATGGTGGTGGAGTAGATTATGTTGTGCGGGGTCGAGAACCCTCACTCCTCGCAAAGGGTATAATCGCACCACGTTGTGTAAAATTGGTCAAGCACCCTCGAGGCAGTTACACAGTGCTTATAATTGTTTCTGGAAGCGAAAACACCAGAAAAAAAACTATATCATACGCGGCTGTCGTCCGTACACAAGGAAGTAAGCACAAGATGCTGAACACCCTCAGCAGGATGCAGCGCACNTCGCAAAGGGTATAATCGCACCACGTTGTGTAAAATTGGTCAAGCACCCTCGAGGCAGTTACACAGTGCTTATAATTGTTTCTGGAAGCGAAAACACCAGAAAAAAAACTATATCATACGCGGCTGTCGTCCGTACACAAGGAAGTAAGCACAAGATGCTGAACACCCTCAGCAGGATGCAGCGCACCCTTCATGCGACTCGCCGAATACCTCACGGCGCTTCGCGCTTGGTGATGTGAGAGCCTGGTCCGGTGAGAACCCGGCGTGCTCCGTCCTGGCTTTGAGGGATGCGAGGTCAATGGTCTAACGACTACGGCATGCACGACTATGAGTACACCCCTCCCCTCCCTCCTTCGGAGCGTTGGTACCGGACCTCCCGGGGTGACGAAAGATGACATGCCGAACGTCTTGTCATGGATTCTTCCCGATAGGTAGTGCTCGTTTCCGCACAAAGTATTGCCGTGCATCACTTGAGCCCGCTTGGGCGGACGGACAGCTTGCCTGCGAGATGCGTCCGAACGAGCCAGCTGGTTCAGTATCAACGTCAGAAGTAGCTGCCACTCGCGCAGTAGTCACCACTTTCTCTTACCTGTGCAAACGTCCCACAGGCTTCGGAGTTCAAGCGGAGCCTGGAAAGACTTGGGTTCGGCGGGCTAAGCGCCGCGGAGAAGTCGCTTCTCGTGAGGCGTTTCGACCCGGTCGAAGAGGGCACGGTGAGTGCAATAGCAACCCTTATTTTCTTACTCACTTCGTGCTCTTATTTTTCTCCGTTGTTTTCTAGCGCGAGGGTTTCAAAGCAGCGGACTTTCGCACCGTTTTCACGTCGCGCTGCCGACGGGCACTCCTGTCTGGCCGTCCTCAAGACACTGCAGTGAAAGTGTAGCACATTTTTGCACTGCACGGAACGACAGATCACCTATGAGGTGTTCGCGGCTTGGCTGTCGTCTGGTCTCGACCCGGATCGCCTCACGGCCAAGCTTGGCCGGCTCTTGGGACAGCTGACCGGCCGACAGACTCGCTCTGGCGGGGAAAAGAAGAAGGGGAAGACCGCGGACAACAAAGGGGCGAGGGACAGAGCCATCAAGCAGCGGCTGCCGGGCGGTGTGCGAGGGCTGTTCGAGGGGTTCGACGAGGACGGCGCGGGAACGGTCAGCCGGCATGACATGAAGGTATATTCACAAGGAGACGGCACCGACAAGGGTCGACAAACTTCTCAAGGATAAAACTCTGACCCCTCATGTTTTTTGTCTCGATATAACTCTCGAGTGGTTTTAACCCACCAAAATGTGGCCTTTGAGCGGGTTTTTTACATGCCCACGTTCCAAGGGTATCACTTAGGATTGCTGGCAGAACTTCGCCGTTTTTTTGCCGTGCTAGTGCGCACTAACGTCGATATCGAAACGTGTGCAACATTAACATAGGCGGAGGCACATCAGGGCGAGCTGCGGACGACTCCCAAACCCCAAGTAGAATGCAGTAGTGCTCGACCGCATGAGAAGGAACTTATTCGCGATACTGTTTTCCGCAGGTTGCGCTGAGACGAACGCTGGGGCTGCCGCTTACAGAGGGAGATTTGAGAGCGCTTTTCGCGCGGCTGGACAAGGTGTGTGTGGTGTTCGGGTTCAGGAAGCTTGTCCATAGGAAATGTTTCATGGAACTGCACCGATGTTGGCGTTGGAGGGCACCGGAGAACGCGTGTCAAGCAATTTTTGAAACGTGCGAAAAGAGTGTGTCCACTTTGACTACCTGAATGCAGAGGAAGCGTCCATAACGTGATGAGCCGCCTCAAGGTGGGGGGGCGATTGGGAGCGCGCTTTTGTCCATAAGTCGAAATACACCCCTCCCGCAAAACGGTGCAGAATTTTACGGCTTCTGTCCCCACGGCCTCCTTCATCATCGGCAGTACGTGTGTCGAACTTTGTTGCGCGAGAGTCAATCAGTAGCACAGCACCACGACGGCCACCTCCAGCACCATTATCCGTTCTTTCCGTTCCGATATGAAGGACGGAGACGGCATGCTAGACTACGAAGAGCTGCTGGCGCTAGCGTCGAAACGGGAGAGGGGTGACGCACGGAGCGGCACCAAACGGAGCGGAAGCGGCATCCTGTCAAAACTCAAGGAAAAGGTGAGGCCGGGATGGGCATGTTTCAAGGCTGCGTGATACTAACCCTAACCCTGTTGATCTGCAATTCAAGCTCATGTAGACAATCCTGCACGTTGCACGTAGATAAAAGGGGTAATGGCGGTGTCTATCGTGTTCTAGGCGAAGCCAAGCCCATTTTTGTAAACGACTGCGCAGCAGTGCGAATCGCTCAAAGAGATAGGAGCTTAAATCAGGGTCGGAGAATTTCTGCTGGGAGGTAGTGTAGTCAGCTTCGGAATTTGCATCAGCTGGAACCTGGATTTGTTGCAGACGGAAATATTCGGGATTGTGGGGCTGTGGGCGCCGGTCCACCCGCGGCGTCTGTTGCTCCTGCCACAGTATCAAGGAAACTCTCAGTGGTTTGGTGTTCTGCAGCACCACGCAGGCCGTCGAAACGCAACAAATACTATTTTCGGTTGTGGGTGCTGCTGCCGAGTTCCAGTTTCCTCATGATGCCAGCCAGAAATAGAGCGCGTCGATCCTTGTTGGCTTCAAACGGGATGTACTGCAGAAGTCACGCTTTTTGAGGCACGAAAACGCCTCCAGATTTAGCCAAACGAGTACTGAGTTATTGCTGTATGTGCCCGTTGCTGGTGTCGGTCTCTCAGGGGTCCGCCATTGTCAAGGGGGGTGCGTCTGAAAAGAGCTCGAAACGGCACGGGGGCGACGGCAGCAGCCAGGAGCGAGACAGCGAGACTGACCCTAGCAAAGGCGAAGATAGCGAGGACGGGGACGCAGAGATGGAGGGAAGGGGCGGGAAAAAGAAGCATTTCAAGGACAAGAAGAAGGAAAAGAAGAAGGAAAAGAAGAAGAGCAGGGAGGAAAAAGAAAAGGCCAAGGGCAAGCAAGACAGGGGGGGCAGCGATCGTGATCGTGCTGGTCGAAGAACCGCCGCAGTCAAGGGGGCGAGGTACGAGGGATGTGAGGTACTTGCGCGAGAATTCTCTCCTGTCTGTGTGTGCGTTGTCGGAGTTGATTGATCGGGAGTAGCTCGTACAGAGACTTGTCGTCGTCGATGTGTCATCCTCCTCACCATACACGAGCACTGAGTTTCCCTTTCGCGAAAACTCCGCCCTCAGATGAGTGCATGGGTGTCTGCTTGAAAGCCATATCTCACACAGTCTTGCACGCAAGCTATCGATAGCCCCATACCATTTCCGTCGGTGGAATTAGGTAGGCAGAGCTTGCCCAACTCGACGGCTCTAATCCACCAAAATGCGTCGAAAGTTCCAAGGCTCGGAGACGAAAAGCCGTTGCTACCCGCCGTCGCCGAAACGGACATCACCGAACACCGAACTGGACCAACACCGACGCAGGCTTGAAAGCAGACTGATGGGGCTGCGGGTGTCAATCATCCAGCAGTCCGCAGCGGCAGCAGCAGCGGCGGCGGCGGCCGAGGAGAGAGACAACGAAGACGGGAAACAAGACGATGGCGGCGGCGGGGAACGAAGCGGCATTAGCAGCAGCAGCACGTCTACCTTCAGCAGCCCCGCCGCCGTGACCGCGAAGTGGACGGTGATTTTCGAGTCCAGAGATCGTGCCGGGACGGGCAAGGCCACTGTGGAAGACCTGAGGGCGGTATTCGAGGAGGTGAGCTTCCTCGAACCCTGGAATGCGGCATGCGCCAAAGGATTGGCGAGGGATCGAGGAGATTTCTGCATGTTTTTTTTTTTTTCTGGGAGAGTAGGTATTTCGCGACGATCGTTGGCTAGAAAGTGTGTAGACTCGATGGCGGTTGCCCTTTATCCTTATCACAACGAGCCCTGGCCGCTTCTCTGCGTGTTTTCCCTGCACAAGTGCAGGGTGGCGTCAAGACGTCCGAGGAGGACCGGTCCATTTTGATGTCCAAGTTCGCCGTGCCTTCTGGCAAGGGCGGCCGTGCCCAAGCCGACGAAAGAGAGGAGGGGGATAGCGAAGCGTCACCGTTGTCACCAGCTGCTGCCACAATGGACTACGACGCATTCGTGCGGTGGCTGTCGGAAGGAGGCGGGCTGGATGACGCACTGTTGGGGAAGGTTCAACGGCACCTCAAAGCTCGCCTCAGCAAGTGAGACAGGCGCAACAACATATTGTCGTAGCACCATCACTTGCTTTTTTCTTCCGTAGGGGGACCAGCAAGAAACCACAATTCCTTCCTCTCTCCCGTATGCCCCAAGAACCGATGAAACGAAAATTCTGTAATTGAATACAAAATCAGGGCAATGGACCTCCGGGCGCTGTTCACCGAGATGTGCGATGACGGTAGCAGCAGCGGAGGCGGCGGCGGCAGCGGCGGCAGCCGCGACAAACGGCACAGCAGCAGCAACGAAAAGAGGGGAACGGAGACGACGCTCTCCACCTCGTGCCTGGCGCGCGGCCTCCGGCACGCCGGCCTGCCGCTCGATCGGGGTTTGGTAAGCCTTCTCGTGGCGACGTTTTCCACTTCCGGGGGAGGGGGCGGGGGAGGGCGGCGGAGTGGCAGAGGGCGACATCGACACCACCTGGTGCTGTCCTACGCCGACTTCCATCGCATGGTTAACTGCGAAGGCCTCCTGAAGGGGGCTTCCGCTGTGCTGGGGGCGAGGGGCGGGGGACAGTCGGGAACCCTCGACGAGCAGGTGAGACGGGAAGAAATTTTACAAATTTCACAACACCCGAAGGGAGGTTCGTTGTCCGGTATGTACATGACAAATGTGCCATTGTGAAGAAGCATTTTTTCAGCTGAAATGAAGAAGGGAAGGGGGGTGCTCAGTTGGACACAGTAGAAGTTATTGAAAGCTCTCTCTCTCTCGTTCTGTGTCCAGCGAATCATAGCTGCCCCGTTTAGTCTGTTCTGGCGTATACATTATTGTACCATTTCGATGATTTGGACTGATTTCGCCGGTTTCTTCGAAGTCTATAATTTTTTATCCGCGATTCCTTTTGTGTCGCGCGCCAGAGACTCACTACCGCTCTTGTCTGGAGCTCGCCAGGCGCCCATGGCACGTTTGCTCGACGAAAAATGGGAGAGAGGAATGGGCCTATCTCCCGGGGATGCTTTTTCGAGAAAAAGAAACCCCAGGGGGTCAGTTCAATCTCATTACAGTGGGCAAGAAAACCCCGCATGCTCGATTCGAACATGTCTCCCTTCGCCAACGGCAACTAGTAATAACTGCAGATGGCGCTGATCGTATGGACCCACAATCCTACTCGTGGTGCTTGTCTGGAGCTTACGTGCTCGCATCTGCTTGGTGTATCGGAGCAACACATCAGCTCTTAACGAGGACTTTGCTTCTTTTATTGTTTCGCGTCCACCGTCCCGCATCACTGATTCGTTTCGACAAAGACCGCCGATTCAATCGCAACCAAGCACCACTTCACGTGCACACTTCCGTACTGGCACTTCGTCGGCCGCCGAATGATTCATGAGATGTTGTGTACGACAAAGAGCTCTGCTGCCGAACATTAAGCCCCACCAACGGACGAGAAAACGTTCGGCATGTCGTCTTGTGTCACACTCGGGAAGCCCGAAACCAACGTCCGGCAGGGGACCCTTGCATTGTGCATGACATGCAATAATTCAAGAGCATTGCGACCATCGTTGCCCTTAGCCCCCACTCACCCCTTCTTTTTGCGGTACCCGTAATGGTCGTCGCGAGTAGATTATGTTGTGCGGGGTCGAGAAGCCTCACTCCGCGCAATGGGGATGATCGCACCACGTTGTGTTGAATTGGCCAAGCACCCTCGAGGCAGTTACACAGTGCTTATAACTGTCTCTGGAAGTGAACGCACCAGAAAAAACATTGAGCCAGTCGTAGCTGTCATCCGTACGCAAGGAAGTAAGCACAAGGTGCCGAACACCCTTAGCAGGATGCAGCGCACCGTTCATGCGGCTCGCCTGATACCTCACGGCGCGTCGCGCTTGGTGATGTGAGATCCTGGTCCGGTGAGAACCCGGCGTGCTCCGTCCCGGCTTTGAGGGATGCGAGGTCAATGGTCTAACGACTACGGCATGCACGACTATGAGTATACCCCCACCTAACCCCTTTTCCCGATGTCGGGTAAAACGTGGACCAATCCCAGACTCTGATCAGCCGCCAACAAACCAAACGATCGATGCCCTCCCCCCAGATCCGGTCCAGTCTCCTGGAAACGGTCGAGCGAGCTTTCGCTTTCTATGACCAGGACAACTCGAACATAATCGATGCCACCGAGGTGGTGAACATTCTCAGGGCCCTTGGCCACGACCCCACCCGCGCGGAGTCTCGAGCGCTGCTGCGGAAGGCCAACGTGGATCGGAACGGCGGGGTGGAGGTGGGTATTCGGATGGTCGTTCGGGGGAATGAACGATGGACATGCATACGGACCAAGAAACACAAACACAGGGAAATTGTGGTGCTTCAGGGACGGCGCAGGGCGTTCAACAATGGTGTAAGGTCTATGGTTTCATAAGGCGGGCCGCACATGCCCGACAAGGATTTTCGATTTGACTTTAAAGGCTGAGTCCCTGCCTTGCTTTCTGATTCAGGAATCGCAACGTTTTAGAGGTGCGGTTGGAAGGCAAAGGTATTTGCAGCTACGCAGTGCACGTAGTCGATACCAATCGAATTATAATCAGAATGCGGTCTACCCCTCTTGTTGTACCGGTGTGCACACCTCATCGCCGCCCAACGATTACGCAGTTCGACGGTTTTCAGGAGGCAGTCATGCCCTTTCTGCTCGAGCGCACGAAGTCCAAAAAGCTTACGGAGGGGGAGATGCGAGCCATGTTCGACGAGGTTGACACCAACGGGTACGAATAAAAGAGTTGGCCTTTGAATGAATGCCGAAGGTACGCGATCAATATCTCACGTCGATTTGAGTCACCTCGGATATTGTGGCATGATTTGGTGTCGGATGCCTGGTGCTTTGTCTGGGCGTGAATGAACTGATTGCTGGGCGGTTTCAGGTCGGTATGGAGTTTGGTGCGATGAGTTGGCTTGACGAAGCAACGAAAACTCTAATCAAGTCTCGATAATCTTGAGCATAATATTGGTACTAAAAGCACCTCGGAGCCATGGTCGAGGCGGAACTTAATTAACGTGGACGCCACATATCGTTCATGACAGACCTCGTTTGATACCTCCATCCATATCTCTTTTACATACCGTCCATGTTTTCTTGCCCTGTCGATAATGTTCTGTGCGTTCTATTCACTCTCTGCTGGTGCGGGCTTGAACTTCAGCTCAGTCTCCACGTCTCCACCACCCATTTGTTTCATTTCCTCAGCTACTCTTTTCTCTGTTAACCGCTTGCCATGCGTTTGTGGATGGTTCCAATTCTCCCCCTTGCTTGCTCCTCTTTCTCTGGGTATGTGTTTGGTCTGACTGTACCTAGCGCCTCTTACGTCTCCTTACGGACAGGCTCCATCATCGTTGTTTTCCTACTACGCGTGCGTCAGCCTTTTCAATTGCAACTTCAGTGGAACGTTGCTAACGTTTCATTCGTATGCATGACTGTGTGCTCTATTCTTTGGCTCTTGAGGATTTTCCTCGATGTTTGTCTTGGTACCCATCGATTCGCTGTTTCTCCCGACTGATGCACATTCCACAATTTCCGTCTGTGTTCATTACGATTAACACCATGCTCCACTCGTGTTGGCAATGGTGCCTCTCTCGATACAGATCCGGCTCCATCAAACGGGAGGACTTTTCCTACCTCTTCTGTAGCAAGCTGCGACTCTTGGCACACGAGGAAGCCGAGGCACTTCTCGGAATTCTGGACAGGTGTGAAGCGGTGTTGCAACGTTTCCAAGGACGTACAGGAAAGGAAAATCCCCGAAGAGAGCGCGCTTTTCATAAAAAAAAGTCACAATGTAAGCAGTAGGCAAGGCAACGGTCACCCGCCCCTATCCTGTGGAGCGAATGCGTGCAAAGAATGACCCTCGCCTCCAATTACATCACCACTTGGGATATGACAGAATTGCCTTGGTTTTCAGGCGAAGCCCCCCCCCCCGCCTCAACAGCACATGAAACTGAACAATGTCGTGAAGAAAAACCCGGGATAACTGCCATGCGGGAGAGTCTTACGGTATCGTGTTTGTTGCGATATGTGTACAAAAAATGCGTGCCGTGGAAACTGTAGCTGCCGCTGGTACTTCCACCGCTCACGAAGTGTTTCTGATTCCGCTGCTCGCAAAGTGATTCCAACGCAAACATTCACGAGCCGCCGAGGACGATGCGAATATTTCGCTCTGCCCTGTTGAGTTTAACCAAGCTGGTTGGCAGTCGGGGGCGAAAAGTATCGTAGGTTTTCCCACCTTCTTGAGGCCCACCACGCCAACGCTCGCAAAAATAACCAAGGCCCGCGAGGTTCTACGCGGTAGGCCTGTAGAATGACTACGCGTTCTCGTCCGGCGATTCTTCTTGATATCCCTTTCCTATCCCTCGTCCCTTTCCTCACCCGTTCAATTTTCTTTGCGTTCTCCGTTCCTGGCTTTGGCGTCGCTATTGGTCCTGTTCGGTTCGCTCCGATTTTTGGCTCCTCTAGGCACCAGAGCGGGCAGGTATCGTGGGTGGAGTTCGTCAAGCTGTTCGAACTCGTGGGCGACGAGACAGGGAGCGGGGGTATCGCAGCACTGCCTGCAGACATGAAGGAGGTGCACGTATGAAACTGCTCGCCCACCTGTTCACTCTTCAATCCTTCGTCTGCTGCATCGTGGTACAAGTTATTACACGGTGGAGGGATGGACGGATGGGTAGATGCCCATCTCTCTCCCGCCCCACTCGCCCGCTCCTTACCCCTTCGCGTGCTTTTCTGCATCTGCCCCGGCAGTTCTCCCGGTGGCAAAGCCCGCTTATTTTATGCAAACCCTCGACGGTCTTGGTGTTATTCCAGCCGAGAATTCCGATTCTGAATCCGCCATTCAATCAATACCGTCACCAATGTTGCAAAAGGTGGTGGCGGTAGCCTTGCGCAAGCTCCAAATGGGCGCGATGCCTGACGTGGAGGGGCAGCTGTCGTCTTTCCTGGGGATGCCTTCATCCTGCCGCAAGAGCGTGCTTGCGCCGTTAGACAATATCAAGGAGCTTAGCCTGCAGTGGGTGCTCATGCCCAAGCTCGACAGCCGCGGCTGCATCCAGGTATTGTCTACAGAACGTACGAGGTGGGACGAACAAATACATCCATGGCTCTTGCTGCCCAGGAAAGGACGCACACCCCAAGGTGCATTCTTCGTGCAACAAGTGAAACTTGGCGCCTCGTATGAGGGTGGAACCTGAGCCATAATTCACAACAAAACACGCTTTTTGTCATGAAGACCTCTTGCCTCTTGCCTCCCTATTGACTCGAACAGATGCAAGACATGTCCGTGAAAGTGACGACAGAGGTGGCCGAAGTGGAGGCCAGCAAGGCTCCGCCAGACGCGCAGGGGCAGGTAAATGGATTGAAACGATATGTACACACGAGCAATAAACCGATGGCGTCCCTTGTCACACACGCTGTTGTTGTTTCACTCTTTACTTTCTTGCAGAAGCGTACAAACAGCCGATGGTGGCAAAACACATGCGTTACGGCTCCTGTTTCTAGGTTGAGCTTATTGTTTTTCGAAAGACCGCAGGGGAGCATCTAAACGTTCGCCGTATACGAGAAGGCTGCCCGCTGTTTCCATCCTGTCCCTACACATACACGTGGTCGACCCTGGGGTTCAGTTAAAACCCTCGAACACAGATGGTACGAAAACAGAAAGTTAGACATGTCCTACATCCACTCCTTGTTAAAGAAGAATCAGTGAAGTGTTCGGATATGACAAGAGCTCAACATCTCTTCTGTACACGTTTCGTTTTGCACTTAGGTGCTGGTGAAAACGGCCAATCTGGCCGACAGGGGAAGTGGCAGCGGCAGCAATAGCAACAAAAAAAACCCATCCAAGTCTCTGGCGGCGACTCTAGGCTTCAGAAGAAGGGATAGGGAAAAATCACCTCCTCCTGCGATTACCGAATCGAAAGGCACAAAGACACGCCGAAGGTAAACACAACTATCGGACTCCATTTTCTCTATGTTTTCCATGTTAGGCATCGATGAATCGGTGTTGTTAGTTCGTCGTGCCCAAGGTGCTCATCAACTTTGTGTTGTCATCCTGTATTCTGGGGTTTACACGAGACGTTGTTCGAGTTGCGACTGCTTGAAGGGGCACCCTTTGCTACACGATTCTCTGGCATGTTTCTAGAGTTTCCCAAGCGTATTAACAAGGTTCTCTCCGGTTTCGGGGCCCAGGCTTCAAAATTACAAGCGTTTCAGCCATTAACCCAAACTGAGTTGATCGTTGTGAATTCACAACTGAGGAATTGAATGCCAGAATAAGAAACGGCATGTACGGATGGGTGTTTCGTGAGCGAGACCTGATATTTGTTGGTTTGTTCTGGCCAAAGACCAATCCGTGCTACCTATCCATAGCCCACCCGTGCCAAGCCCGCCTAAGTACGTATATGCAAGGCTGATACTCAGGTGAATAGATATGTTGTGAACTCATAGCCAAAAAACTTGAATACCACATGAGGTTGTACGTATAGGTGTTGACCTGATTTTTGCTTGTGATACGGCAAAAGACCAGTCCGTGCTTTACATGCGTTTCCACAACTGTAGAACGGGCTATAAACAACGTAAATCTCTACCGCTTTACGTCTTGCCCTTCTTGCCCTTCTTGCCCTGAACGCGGGCAGGTCCTCGATCCTCGGAGCCGGCCTGATGGAGACCACGACGACCGTGATGAAGCGCGCGACGCTGCAGGAGGTCGGGGCGTCCACCGAGGAGGGCGGCGGCGGCGGTCGGAGAGAAGGCTCAGGTGGCGGCGGCGGGGTGATGCAGGTATGCTCATCATTTTGCCTGCGCCCTGCTGCTTAAGTTTTGGCGTATAAGGAGTTCGACGAGACAGCTTGAGGAACGCGGTTGGGGGTTCACCAGGTACGAGGTCTCCGTGTAACTGCGGAGACATTTGTTGGAAGGCTCTGAAAAGGATCATCATAATTTAGGGCGTCTTAGGACAGTTGGTGGTATTTTTTCTGGCACTGCTACAGCACAAGCCCTTTTTTCTATCCGCCTTGTAGCCTTTGCCTTACGACAACTTTGGTGCTGCCGTGCCTGGGGCAAACTACCAACACCGCTCCGCGGACTCTGAGGGTCGCTCTTGTGCTCTTGGCCGACAATACCATGCGCATCCATACCCGGGAGAGTCCCACTTTTGCCGCACACGCAGAACACCACTAACAGCACTCCACACGCTTGACAGGGTGTAAACCTCGTTGTTCGTCCACAATAAAACCCGTGATCCTCAAGGTGGAGTTGTCTGTCAAGCACGCCTTCGGGATTCCGGTAGCCAGAGACTCCAAGATGGGAGATATTCGCCAGCGGGGGATGCGCGCGTGCCTCTTCTACGATGCTGGCAGGGACGTAGACAGGTAACTGCGTCATCGGCGTCTAGGGTTGTTTACAATTTTCTCGAGGAAGCGTTCGGCGAAGACGAGCGCCAGTTTGTGTAACTCATCACAGAAGAACCCTGCACACGCCTTCCGAACCGCTGCCACAAACGAGACGCCTGACGATGCTCGAGCGTATGCTTACGTTGTCTTTATACCTCGACCGTCGGCAGGGACACAGGTGAGGCCACTTCGGAGTACAACGAGCACTTCCTGTGCAACACGTACAAGACTCTGGCGATTCAGCACCCTCAGAAGGAAGAGCAGGTGTGTGCCAGATCGAGAGATAGAGCAGGGGCGTGGTGGATACGGCACTGAAGGACTTCTGATTTGGTCAAGCTAAAGCCCTCTTGCACGATGAGTTCGGCCCATGTTTTCCTTTTCGCCCAATACACGTGAGGTTTAGGTTGGAGTCCGCCCGTATTTCGGCTTGCATCGGTCGGCGTGACGGTACTGTCTCAAGACTCGCCCAAAAATCCGCTCCCTAGCCACCCGAAAACCCTTTCCAACAAGCGGGGGTCTGGTATTTCTGGAGAAAAGGTTGAAGACGAACGCAACGAGTATACACACCACAGTCCACGATGGTCCTTTGGCGACGCCGCTGTTTCGGTCTCCCGCAACCCTTACCCCGGCGGCCTCCCTAACTCCCTCTGAACCCGCCCGGACGCTTCGCCAAATGCAACCCAGTGGCTGTTCCCCGATTCCTCCGAAGGGGAGCGGAAGTTCCTCGTCCGAACGGACTTCGGCAGCAGCAGCAGCAGCAGCAGTAGCCGGCAGGGGACACGAGACAACAACCCCTCCTCGGCTCACTCTCGAGGGGACCGAAAGAGACTCTTCCTGCTGGTGGAGCTCACGTGCACGGTGCAGACCGCCAAGGACGGGGCGACCCCGGCGAAGATGGACGGGGGAGGGGTAAGAGGGCCGCTCAAGAACTTCCGCGCGGGGTCATCGTCGACCGCCCGCGGTCGACGCGGCAAGAGAAGGGGGCGGGTGGGCGGCATACGAGAGAAGCGTGGCAGGGGCGAGGACTCTGACTCGTACTACTCCGGTGAAGGGAGCTCGGGGAACGAATACTCGGACGGGGGCTCGCAGGTGAGCCGGGCCCACCGCACAGAACCGCATGACGCACCTTGAGCTTGTAAGCGACGGTATCAGCTACCACTGTGTGTGAACTTGCCTCACTTTGCGGTGGTTTCATTGGTGTACATGGTGCACGTCAGTTCCTCGTGCGTTTTTTTGCCCACAGTTGTCGTGGGCACGTCAGTGGGACTTTCGTTAAGATGTCAACGACGAAACTGATTGCTTTTTCGGACGCGTACGCGGCTACATACCTGCACAGGATGGATGATCACCCAAACCTTGAAGGAACTAGCATTGTTCGTGTATAGACGCCCGTTTCCCACAACGAACTCCTATCTACATTATCGAAGTAGATCTTATGAGAGCCATCAGGATCTGTACGAATACTCTTGAACGTCTCCCTACGAAATGGAGGTTCAAGACCCTCGCGGCGACAAAGTGTGTGCACAGCTTGCTTGTCGATAGGACGTTAATTATCTTCCTCAGATCGATTTACGTCATGTCTCCCTTTCCTTTCCATAATATGGCGCAGCCCGCTCCTCCCGTATGCTACTACGGTACGGGTGACATCGCCATCGACAACATCTCTGTCTGTAGGCGCGCGCGTCCTGGCCCATCAAGGTCCGCCCCTGACATCCAATGGTCGCATAACGACCCTAACCCCCCCAGCGTATCGTTTTGTCCACCGTGTCCTTCCCTGCCTTTTTGCCTGGAATTTTCAACACACTCAGGGCGAGGGCTCCGTTACGGCGAGCGCACCAAGCAGCGATACCGGCAGCAACAGCGACAGCAGCAGCAGCAGCAGCAATGCAAAGAAGAACAGAAAAGCGCGCGGACGGCAAAAGGCGCCGGGCGGCAACCGCCGAAAAAAGAATATCAGCAGCGCGCCGCCTTCTCGGAGAGGCGGCGGTCGGCGTTCCGGACACCGTAGAAACGGCGTGCGTAGCGAGGGGTCGGGGGGGAAACGCCGCCGTCAAGGCCGTCACGCGGGAAGAAGCAGCAGCACCAGCGGTGGCAGCGGCGGGGAGTCGAACGATGGCGATAGCTCCCACTCCGGCGAGAGCGATTCTTCCTTTTCTGGGGGGAAAAGGGGCGGGAAGAAGACGGGAAACGGTGGGGCCACGGGAAGGGGCTTGCGCGGCAGCGATGGAGGAGGAGGAGGAGGAGGAGGAGGAGGAGGAGGAAGGAATGGAGATCCCCGGCGAAGGGACAGTGATAGCTCGGAAGCGGCCGAAGGGGAAAGGGACGATGGGGATGGGACGGTGGAGGTTGAGATGTCCTGCGGCTGGGTGTTGGTGAGGCCTTAGTGCCACCATGGCGAGCGGGGTGGTGTAGGAAAATTCCAAATCATTGCACCGTTTCTGTTCGGTGCAGTCTCCTTTCACCGAAAGCCAGGGTGTTAGTTGTTGTCCGTAGTTGGTGCAGGTATCATACACGACACGGAAGCACCTCCCTCCGTCTCATTTACCCTACCAGAATCCCGAGCATTGAGCAAGGCGTAGAATCCTTGCGACAAGAAAATGGAGCTTCCGGTACGTCGTACCGCGACATCTAGCAGATCCGAGTACACAGAGGCGCCAATGGAACAAAGAGTACGGCCCATCAAGCAACCTCTCCTTGATTCGATGCGGGCTTGCTGAATATTTAATCAAACCACATCAGATCCCATTCTTGGAGCTGGTGGAATCCAAGGAGGTGAAGAGGGTGCGGTATAAGCTGCTGGGGGGCACGCCGTTCGCAAAGACGGATATAAATGAGGTAGGGCGTGTTGTCGTGGTGGCACCGAACCGGTTGAGACACTCAAGCACAGCGAATGAAGCAGTGGCCGGCCAGTAGTCCTACGGGTATCTCAGATGCGTTGTGACTTTCGGGGAAACGTGCAACAGAACGTGTGCAAGGAGCCTCAATACAATCCACCAAGACCTCCAAAGCCCGGTTCATGATACGTTTGATGCCAAGTAGTCCCACATGCTTTGTGTAACTGCATGTCACTGAAAAACACGTGGTCGGGTTCCACGGGGCAGGACGAAGTAATGACACGCCGGTACGGATGGCGAGCTGTCCTGAAGGCCATGAAGATCGAGGGGCTGCACAAGGGGTCCGAGGTGGAGATAAAAATACTCCCCGTCAACGCCCTCAGCAAGGCTAAGCAGGCAAGTCGGCAGCTAGAGTGAGTCCTCCTAGCTTGGAGATCGATTCGTTCACTTCTTCCCAGAGTTCACTCCCTTCAAACCCAAACGTAACGATCGTGAAGGTGCCTGAATTGATCATCCCGGGCCCTGATATTTATTTATTGTATGAGCCCTGAAGCTACCCTCCGAGTGCCTGTATTTGAGCATTTGGCAGGCGCAAATCCATCCGCCTGAGACATGAAATCATGAGTTTGTTGGTAATTCACAACCTAACCTCATCCTTTTGGGGCGGAGTTCATCGTGAACCTGAAGCCAGGGGTTGTGAGCATAAGACCAGCCGATAGGATCACCACCACGGGCTGAAACCGCCGTCAAAACCGAGTTGTCTGTAGGCCTGGCTGGAAAGGGCCGACCTGAAATTTTGTTGGCACAAGGGAGGGAGCCTGAAACTTTGCTTGGACGAATTCAGGCTCCCGATGCGGGTCCCAATCCACTCATCGTTGTCCAAAGATTGCCATGTCATTCTGGACTCAACCTAGCTGAGCGTCGAATGACATTCGGTTGGAATGAATTTGTGCAGGTTCTTGTAGCTCAGGTAGCGTTTTCCCCCGTCAGCAAACACTGGCTGTTGGATACCGGTCGTCCTTTATTTTAGGTATTCATCAAGGTCGTTGAGCATGGATGTGAGGTGTTGGGTGCCTGCATTCATTCACCTAGGACCTGAACGATTTTGATTCACCTAGGACTTGATTCTATTTGTGTCTGTCTTCAGGGTTCCCGCTGCTGGCGCTCGTGGTCCAACGGACATTCACTCTCCCATTTCAAAACGTTAGACTATGGTGTTAAAGACAGGATGAATGCCACCGTCCCGGAACCTGAACTTCTTAGCCTCGAAACTTAGAACACACATTCAATGGTTTATTTTTTGTCGATGCCAATGAGATTGCTCTCACTCTCATCAAAGTCAGAGTCCGGTGAAATTGTGGTTTGTTATCCATCTACCATTGGAATATCTTTTTCGCTGTGGAGATATGACGAGGTTGTTATTCCCTGTGCAGTCCAAGAACGAATCTACTTTCCGAGAGAATAAAGGTAGAATTTTTGCGACTGCAGACGAGGGTATCCGTTGGGAGGGCCTGAGTTCGCCCTTCCAGAACCAAGCAATAGTCTCCAGCGTTGGTGTTCTTCTAAAACCCAAATTCACTAAATGTATCATTTCTGCAAGGGCGAAAAACTACCTGAAGTTGTCCATTGGAATGCTTGCCAAAGTCCAGGCACTCTTTGTAGAGCCTGAGCTCGGGCTTGCTGGTTCGCCAACTTTTTATCCAAGAACCATGAACAATCAGAGGTTTGCCTTGTACCACTATACCGACAACTGGATGGTATGGTTCGCCCGTCCGAATGTATCCTTCGGACAAGCAACGTTTGCGTCAATTCACTCTGCTACACGCAAAACTAGTGAAAACGATGTGCAGATCAATATTTACGCGCTGTTGAAATGAAGTCGAATGGATGGTCCTGACTGCACCGTTTTCAGGCCTACGTTGAGGTGATTAGACGGCAGTTCTTGCCTGTTGGGCCCGCAATTGAATTGTTGTAGGCTGGAATTAGACGTCCCGCAATGCGAAGTCACACTTCCTCAGCCGGCACCCACGTAGTAATACCGGCATGTGGCAAAAATTCGATTTCGATAAACAGTACAGTAGGGGGGCCTCTATAGTGCCGGTATGTGTTCAGAGAGCAAAGCGGCACTATACCGGGCACCGGCACTATTCAGAGTACAGAAAGACTTGATATTCCGGTGTGTGCGAGCCGAAAACACCGGCACTACACCGGCAACCGGCACTATTCAACCGGCACTATATCGGGCCACCCACTGTAATTGCTTCTTCACTTCTTCGCTTTTGTTGACAACGCCGAGCGTTTAGAGGCTGTACGGATCTTCCATTTGCCTTCACCGACGCAGCGCTTCGTCGTTCATGGTTTCGTGAAATCGTGGGTAGATGCAAGGGGTACGAAGATCTGCGGAAGAACACCATGAGAAATATATGAATTCTGCAACCTCTGCGCCGTATTCATTATTTTCACACCAGGAGGACATCTTCCGCCTCCCTAGAAATGTGATTCTGTCGGATACCTTCGTGTCTCTGGTGCGGCACTACCGGGAGTACGCCGCCAACAGTCTGGCAAAGCGCAGCGCCAGGGGCATGGGAAACGTCGGTTTCGGTGCCGGCTCGGCATCGTCGGAACCGGTTCTGGCGCTGTTCCCCCGCCTGGCGGGAGACCCTGCGCTGATGATGGTGGGTGTTCGTAGCGAAAGTACTTGGTACACGGAATGTTTGGCGACAACCTTACAGACGATGCTCGTGTCGCGCGACACAAACATGATCGTGGAAAAATGCATATCCTAGAAGAATTTATTCCAGCTGCGCTTCCGGTGTTGAATTCCTGGCACGGGGGCAGACTGCAGGAGATCCGTCGAGCCAATAGTAGCACTGTAGAACGCAGAAGGCAGGCCGATTTCTATAGCGGCGGCGAGGATGGCAGAATAGACTTGTATCCCGCCGGCCGATCGTCGCATGAATCTCATGCGGTGGGGATAAATATACCCAACCTATTCCCGACAATAAATCCAGGCCCTCAAGAACCAGTGGGAAACGGAAATGCGCAAGACTCATGTCGACGGCAGGCTCGGGGCCACCATCTCCAACAAACTCGCCGGCCTAGCGATGGGCGGGGGCGGGGGCAGGGGCGGCTTAGCTGGCGGACTGGTGGGGGTTACCGGAGCCGCGAGGGAGGCGCGCCTGCTTTCTGCCTTCGAGAAGGCCGTAATGCGCCTGTGGCCAGCTTTCTGCCACATCGACGCCCAGAGGAGGCGGGCTTCGGGAGGGAGTATCGGTAAGAGAGACCGCAGCCAACGTGCAAATACCTGATCGACTACTAATCTGGCGGCGGCAATGTTCGTAAGCCAGCGATCCCTGCACTTGAAACTCCATCGCAATGAAGTAGAGCGCAATACGGCAGGACCTGATGCGAATGCTCTGGACGAAAACAGGGACTGCTTGCAGTTGTGTGGCAGCCTTTCCATGACCAGTGGTTTGGTTGGGCACACACCAACGGTGGAGAGAAACGCCGCAGCGGGCGGAGCGACAAAACCCGCCGATGCTGGTCAAAACTTGGCGCGTGTGCTTCGTGTTTGCCGAGTATCCCGTCCCAAGAATTTGGTAAGGATAAGATATCGCCTTCGCTGCGAAGATGGCTCGGTCACCCGAAGCGAGCCACTGACGACTCATGAAGCCCGCCACCACCGACCGATGATGACCAACCTCCTCAGGAGCTGAATCGTACGAGGAGCTTGAGAGCAGAGGTCAGCGCATCCGACAGATCCTCGACAGCACTGACTCCTTCCAAAGCGATACGCCAACGAAGGCCGCGAACAGGGGAGAAGGAGGTAGACGAGGCAACGGCGGCGGTGGCGATGCTTTCTCTTCCGCCGTTTCACAGGAAGGCCGCGTGATGGTCGCGTTCACACTGAAAGAGGCAAGTTCTTGGACTTGCTTGGACGTGGGTAGGCGTTCCTTGCAAAGAGAGGGTTTGCAGACCAAATTTGACCAGTCTCCGATCGCATCCCATCGACTGAAGTGCGTTCACCGACGAACCCGCGCGGAGAGAGTCTGCGGAATGAGTGCCGTTTTCGCGTATGCGGCCTACCGTACACTCTGACGTCTAAGATATCATTCCCCGACGCTTCTACTGCTGCCGGACACCTGAACCTGAAAGCTTGGGGCCTGGTGCTCACGTTGTCCGTTGTCCATGTCCTCGCCCGTTTTCGCGTTGCACGGGCTTCTTCAGGTCGCTTTCGATGTGGCATAAAAAACGTGGAAGAAGAGAACATGGGCGGATGCCCCCAAATCGCCGTAACTTCTTTCGCAGCACGAACGGCCGTGGCTTGGAACCAACCGCGCGCGTGTACGACGTAGACTGGTAGATGAGATAGTACAGCACTGATAAACGCACGTCGGAATAGTTATAGCTTGAAAAGGCTCTTGTCTATTGACTGCGACAGCCCCGTAGTGTTGTATTGTCTTTTCCGGGGCCAAAAACCCTCCTCTATCAGGTCCAACTCAGGATCACTGTACTGAGGAGACTTGCCTCGACAAGACCCGAAGAGCGCTCCGTACATATAAATGGAGTGAACCAAACCCAGGTGAACCGCTCTTAGTGTCTTCGCACTGCTGTAAACCGTTTTGACCTCTGCCCTGTTAGCCCTCTGCACTCCAAGGTTGGGCACGAATCCCTGCAATCCTGGGCCTAACTCCAAACTCTAGGGGAAAACTAGCTCCATCGTGAAACTGTTCCATGGGTTGCCTTCACAGCCATCACCTGGTCTTCATTTCGTCAAAAGCGTTACCTTTCGTTGCATTGGCAACCGGAAACCAAACCTACACGCCCTTCCCCCTACCTTCACCTTTGCCATACATAGTCACAGTTCTTGGGTAAGTGTTCCAACAACAGCTTCGAGCCCCTCTACAGGGGTACCAGGGTAACTGCTTGACATTCCTCTAGATTTGTCGGCATCCCATTTCTACAGCCACTTGGTGCTCCAACTGTCTATCTTGGCATTTGGCAATCCGGCCTCTCTTCAAAAACAAGCTCCATCCTGATACTCCATGGTTTGGCTACAACTGTCGCCTTGCTGGCCTTCAATTCGTAACGTTCTATTGCATTCATTAGCAATGGGAACCAAAACCCACTCGCCCTTCCCCCAAACCTTCACCCTTGCCATGCACATTTCATGGGCAACTTTTACCAGCAACAGCTTCAAGCCTTCCTACCGGGGTATCTCGGTAAGAATTTTTCCAGGCTTATCGCCATCCCAATTCTACAATCACCTGGCGCTCTAACTCCTCATCTTCGCAATTGGCACTGTGGCCTCTCTTCAAAAGCAGTACCCTCGATCGATGCCTTGCCCCCAGAGCACCACCCTAGCTGGGGGACACCAACACTTCAACCGCAAAAGCCTCCATCCGCACTGTGTGGGATGCCTAGAGACCTTTTGACGCGTAATCCTCCAAAACGAAAGCAACCGGCGTTGCTAGCGTGATGTCCGGGAGCTGGCAGCCCTTCTAACAGACTGGGTGGCGGCCATGGCACCAACTGCAACAACGCCTGCGGCAAGCGCACCCACTGCCGCGTAGCGCCCAGCGGTTTTCCATCTCCGCTGGGGTAGCTGTATTCCGCCCGGAGCCCACGGTGTCAAAAAATCGGTTCGATCAGGGGCAACGGGGCAGTGTTGGTAGGGGAAAGGACGGCCCAGAGTACACGTGGATGAGAGGAAGCGATGGCTGCGGAGCAGTCAATACCGATTTTCGGCGGACAAGTAGTCGAACCAAAACCTACAAGTGCAGCTGCCAACGGTACATCCGGTGGAGCGCACTCCCGGTCGTTGGTTGTGTTTGTCTTAACTGCAACATCTCGCGCTACTAGACACCTGTCCCCTCTGAAACTCTACAAGAATGCCGATTTATAAAGAACGAGGTGGAAAGCGCAACCCCCACAAACACCGAAAATCTCCATTGCGAAGCTGCTTCCTTCGCAAAGGGCTCGACAATGAAAGCGACGCCAACTTTCTCGCTCAGACAAACTTCCACTTACGCGCAAGAGATAGGGCGCGGCAACACCAACAAGGAAATAGACGCCACATTTCTCGCTCAGTCAAAATTCATTCTAGCGCAAGAGAGAGGGTGCGAGAATATCAGTTTGCGGCTGTTCATCAGTACGATACTCCAAGGTAGAGAAATTGCTATCCGCGGGCCTGCTTTGATCTCCATCCCGACATAGACTGCGTCGACGCTGAACGATCACGCAAGTATGAGAAAACTCTTAACATCCGAGTGAAGTCCTTCCTACCCTACAGCGTAGCAACTCCGCTTGCGAGTTGCTACCCATCAGCACGACTCCACCAGCGCAACAAGCAAAGTAACAGCTACCTCTATCCCACAGAGGCAAGCTCTTACCAGGGAAGCTCCCTGCCAAACTAGTACCACGGCAACATCGTGGGTTTTGATGCCTACAGAGACAGCAACAATCGTACCGAGGGCTAAACCAATGACACGCGCCGAGTGAACTTTGGAGTTTTACAAGGCTTGGTTGGTTTTGTGGAATACTGTCCATCTGCAAGCGGCAGTAAAACACCTACCCATCTACTGCAGTACAAAAAGAACGGGAACATATTGAAGGAATTAGGTGAAGGCAGGAACGGTTTCGGCAAATTGAAGAAGAACAACAACACCGACGACAGCAAGAACACCTCTCTCACCAATGAGACTTCCGTCCTGCGCTGGAGGTCCCCGAAGAAGTGCACGTAAGCCTCCCGGAGGACTTCCGGCGACAGCGACGCTCGCACTTCCGTGCGACACGCCACCAGCTGCGTGTAGGCCTTGCTGATGTCACCCTGGTACCTGGGCGTGTGGTACTGCATCGAGAGCCTAATTTTGCGTCGTTTTGAGAAGGCCGTGGGGGCCAAGAGACAGCCACAGTCAGCAGCGCCCGCATCATCAGGAGCAGCAGCAGCAGCAGCAGCAGCAGCAGCAGCAGCAGCAGCAGAGGTAGACGAGTGTTAGAGGGGCACGATGACTCATACATGCACCGGTATCAGATGAGGTCTTTGTTACCAGCACGTCGTATGATGTGCGACCCTGGACCCCCGTGTCCCTGATGTCGTCAGCAGTGAGGCATTTACACCCGGAGATTCCTCGTTTCCAGCACGTGACATTAACGGTCCTGCATCGATGACCTCAGTCGTGATCTTTATTCCGAAAGGGCATGAAGGCGACGAAAATCTCCAGGAGACCCAACCAAATGTGAACTGCATCATCCTGTTGTTTAGGTTTTGGAGAGGTAGTGCTCAACAACACGCGGCATCTTGATAAACTCATAATCGCCAAACGATCATGAAGCTGACAGAATTGTAGCGATGCACACGTACGAGGTGATTCCTACGGGCACATGCAAGGACGAAGAGATCCGCGAAAATGACGACACAGGCACTTCTAACTAAAGAAACGTGAGGCACATTCAATGGAGTATCTTGACAAAACAAACAACGCATGACTCCTGCCCGGTGTACGGCATAAGAGTCGAGGGTACAAACGCATGCAGCCGAAAAACAAATCACCACGAAACGAGCAAATGACCACCACCGTAAAAACAAAACGAAACGACGGTGGCATTTACGCACGTGTGCAGCCAATAGGCGTTCGTTCTCTCCGCGGTCTCGCTGTCCCTCCTGTCCGCCTCCACGGCGGCCCTTATCTCGTCCACGCGGGGCCCTGACTGCTGGAGACTCTTGATCTCCGACAGGGTGGTCGCTCGAAGGAGGGGGAGCTCTTGGGGCTCGCAGGAGAGGGTGATCTGCCGACCGCGCGTCAAGAATGAGGGCGCATCGGTTTCGGAAGCATCGGGGACTTCCGTGGTACGTAGAACTGAACCTTTTCATTTTCGGTTTTCGTGAAGGCGGAAAACAGCGCGGCAACGCCTCACTCGTTCGGGGGGCTCCAGTTTTTCTTGGGGCAATGTCTGTGCTCTGACAACGGGTGCGCCGGGCGACACAAGCCCATGTCATTGCACGTCGCTCGAAGCCAAATCCCAAAAAATGCGCAAAAACAAGCGCAACAAAAACCCTCTCACAAGTAACACAGCGGTGGTAGAAACGGTGCCTACGACAACGGCGGCACGGCTGTGACGCGGACTACCACGCACCATGACGGTGCCGGGGAGGGGTTGATCTTCCCTTAGCATGGGCGGTGCGGAGAGGAAGCTGTCCTGTACCGACACGCCGTAGGTTCGACCCAGCGTGAAGCGGAGCACCTCGTTCAGCCGGGTCTCCAGGACAGACGAGGCAAACTGTGGTGTGTCGAGGGGGGATACGAGG